ACTTAATTGGAGGGGTATTTAATTAGGAGACCTGTATTATAGTTTGTTATAAATGTTTGGTTCATTATAAATCTCTACATTGTGAAACATTGACAGTTTACTTAAGTAGACTGTCAATGTTAATCTTAACTTGGTCATAATGTCACTTTGTTAATATTGAGGCCAAAATCTTTCCGTTGTTTTTGATGACTACTTGTCATCAACCTACACCTCTCTCCCCACACTGTAAAAGGGATGATGTCATTAGTCGCAGTAGCTTATGTCTCCCATCTTCTCAATTGATAATGTGACATTTTTTTTTTATTGAAGCAATGCATTCACTCTCCTCACAAGGTAGTAACATTCATTTTGCCTTATGGCATCCCAGTTTATAGTGCCATAGTTGTTGTAACATGGTTGACTTGTGAATGACTAGTAAGTCTACTTAGGTATGTCATGACCAGGTTAAGAGTAACGTCAACAGTCTATTAGAATGCTCGTAGATTATATAGCGAATGTATGCTCATTACAAAGATCAATTTTTGAGAGTTGAACTCAAATATTTTCTGTTGAATCCTATAGAAAAAATCTTGTAGTTTAAGTTATAACTTCTTTTTACATATCAGAATCATGGAGGAAATATGATCAAAATATATTTGAGAATTGATAAAGAATGGTAATAATGAATTATGGTGAATTGTTGATGATCCCATGAATTTACCTTGGCGGCAGAGAAAATTTGTACAACAATTATGTTTGCTTTTGTTTGATCCTGTCTATGTCAAGGGTGTTTTGTTTTGTTTTTGTTGTATAATGTTTTTAATATTGGACGAAATTAATAAATGAAATGTTTAAGAATTCATATGATCTGATTATAAAGATTTATGTTTATATTATCATTCCACATTTAGGAAAAAACATTACGAATGTAACAATATCACTTCCTTGTTCAATCACTATTCTGTATGCAAAGGATTACAAAATAACCACTTTATAAAAGACTAATAGATTATCAGCATGTACTTCACATCAGCCTCATACTTTAATATTGGCACTTAATTTTATCCCTCAAGCAACTGCCTAAAGACAGTTTTCAATTTTTCCATCGTGGTTGAAGATATAAAAAATTGTTATAAATTCAAAATCAATAATGTTTAAATTATAGTACAAGACAAATATTTAATAGTTACTAAATAAATCAAGTAAATAGAACATTATTAATTTATGTATCATTTTAAAACCATCAAAATAATGTTTCATTATTACTGCCATTTATGTTTTGCTACAACAAAATGGCAGTATTTCATGTCTAATTTAATTACAGTACATCAGGTCTAATAATAATTGATAAAACGGAATGTAATAAGTTGTACATTTTCTTTATTTTGTTGTATGGAAATCTTTTCCGAAATCAAAATATTAAAATGAATGAATGAAATGTTTAAAATTTTAAAAAAAATATAACAAGTAGGTTCTTCACAAATTTCTATTTTAAAATGCAATTCAACTTGAGACAACACTCAATTCTTAATTATTCATTAGTAAATAAAACACTTGTCTTAAAATTGTTGATGATCCCATGAATTTACCTTGGCGGCAGAGAAAATTTGTACAACAATTATGTTTGCTTTTGTTTGATCCTGTCTCTGTCCAGGGTGTTTTATTTTGTTTTTGTTGTGCAATGTTTTTAATATTGGATGAAATAAATAAATGAAATGTTTAAGAATTCATATGATCTGATTATAAAGATTTATGTTTATATTATCATTCCACATTTAGGAAAAAACATAACGAATGTAACAATATCACTTCCTTGTTCAATCACTATTCTGTATGCAAAGGATTACAAAATAACCACTTTATAAAAGACTAATAGATTATCAGCATGTACTTCACATCAGCCTCATACTTTAATAGTGGCACTTAATTTTATCCCTCAAGCAACTGCCTAAAGATAGTTTTCAATTTTTCCATCGTGGTTGAAGATATACAAAATTGTTATAAATTCAAAATCAATAATGTTTAAATTATAGTACAAGACAAATATTTAATAGTTACTAAATAAATCAAGTAAATAGAACATTATTAATTTATGTATCATTTTAAAACCATCAAAATAATGTTTCATTATTACTGCCATTTATGTTTTGCTACAACAAAATGGCAGTATTTCATGTCTAATTTAATATCAGTTATACAGTACATCAGGTCTAATAATAAGTTGTACATTTTCTTTATTTTGTTGTATGGAAATCTTTTCCGAAATCAAAATATTAAAATGAATGAATGAAATGTTTAAAATTTTTTTTAAATATAACAAGTAGGTTCTTCACAAATTTCTATTTTAAAATACAATTCAACTTGAGACAACACTCAATTCTTAATTATTCATTAGTAAATAAAACACTTGTCTTAACAATACAATAACAACTGAATTATTGGAGAAATTTGAGGATGGTGGCTAACTTCCTCAAAATAAATAAAAGACTTGTGGACTGCACATTAAATTCATAATCCAATTAATTAAAATATTTATTGTTGAAACAACAACCACAAACTGGGAACAACTGTACCAAGTAACATAATCAACTTGAGTGCAAACCCGAAAATTTATGACAAATCTTGAAAAAAAGACTGGAAGTTTGCATGAGCAGACGATATCCACATTGAGAATCAATTAAAGTGATATCTACATGTTTCCTCTATTTTATATCATCTTCACTTATCGTCACTCACTGCTGCTCTGCTTTGCCTGGAGAATTTTGGTTTCGCGGGTAACCAAACATATTACCACCAACTTTGCAGTATTGAAAAACGTATCAAACGACAGTAAAACAATAATCGGTATTAGTAGCTATGCTTACTAACCTAGAATTAAGAAGACACTTACCTTGCCATTAGTAGTTTTACCTTCTAAAGCAGAAAAACAATGCAAATTTTTGCAGGTACTTACCGATTCATTCGAAGCCATATTGTACATGAACTTCTATGAGCAAGAAAACAAGTGACGTTGATACACAACGCCCTCTACAGTTCATTATTTTTTTCCTATGAAACGATGGCTTTTTTAGCAAAGGTTATATACGTAATATGCGTAATTGTTCAGTTATCAAAACTATTTTAAATAAATAATAAGTCATCGATGTTTTTAAACGCCAAGTTGACGTATCTGTTCAAAAGGTAATCAGTATTTTCAACTAAGTTCATTGGGTCTTTAGAGTTTTGTAATTGATGTATAACAATAATGTAAATGTTATTACTGTAATTGACAGTTTTATAATGTAAACAAATTGTTTGGGCTTGCTGAACCAACAAAAACGGAAATGTTATCATTGAATGCTTAGAAAATTGATGCAAACTTTTGCCAAAATTTTAAGATTAATCGCCTGCAGTATGGAGCTTAAATTAAAGTTAACTGAAAATCGGAAGAGAACATCAATTTCCAATGATTTTTACTACTCGTTTAAAAAAAAACATTTGCTGGCTTCCCGGGTGGGATGGGGGGGGGGGGGGGCCCGTACGCAGGGGGTGCGACGGGTACACACGCACACCCCCTCCCCCACACATTACCAAAGGTCCACATTTTCGAGGGTAGAAAATTTAAAAATCACCCCTCCCCCTAACTAGTCAAAATTATTTTTTTTTTTTAAAGATTTATATTCAAATTTAAGTCTGAAAGTGGCATCTCCGGCCATCTAGAGGTGCCATAATCATGAATGTTCTTACGTCAGCCCCAACCATGGTGGGGCTGTGGTTTTATCAACTCTCAATCAATGCCGTAGCCAAGATTTTCAAACATTGAGGGACAATATCGGAGTGGACCCACTTTACACGTAAATTCAAATAATGCGGACCCAGTTTATAGTGCCATAGTTGTTGTAACATGGTTGACTTGTGAATGACTAGTAAGTCTACTTAGGTATGTCATGACCAGGTTAAGAGTAACGTCAACAGTCTATTAGAATGCTTGTAGATTATATAGCGAATGTATGCTCATTACAAAGATCAATTTTTGAGAGTTGAACTCAAATATTTTCTGTTGAATCCTGTAGAAAAAATCTTGTAGTTTAAGTTATAACTTCTTTTTACATATCAGAATCATGGAGGAAATATGATCAAAATATATTTGAGAATTGATAAAGAATGGTAATAATGAATTATGGTGAATTGTTGATGATCCCATGAATTTACCTTGGCGGCAGAGAAAATTTGTACAACAATTATGTTTGCTTTTGTTTGATCCTGTCTATGTCAAGGGTGTTTTGTTTTGTTTTTGTTGTATAATGTTTTTAATATTTGATGATAAATAATAAATAACAAATAATAAATAACAAATAACAAATAACAAATAACAAATAACAAATAACAAATAACAAATAACAAATAACAAATAACAAATAACAAATAACAAATAACAAATAACAAATAATAAATAATAAATAATAAATAATAATTAATAAATAATAAATAATAAATAATAAATAATAAATAATAAATAATAAATAATAAAAATAATAATAAATAATAAAAATAATAAAAATAATAATAAAAATAATAATAATAAATAATAAAAATAATAATAATAATAATAATAATTAATAATAATAGTAATAATAATAGCAGTAATAGTAATAATAGTAATCGAATATCGAATATTGAATATTTGACTTTAGAACACATCTGTTATAACATTTTCAATTGTTACGATGATTCACACGCATTCAACATCAAAAAATCAATCATTCTGAAATGCTTACTCCATAGGATTGTATTGCTGTTATTATTTGATAAGGATTTAAATCAAACTATAACGCTAATATAAACGCTGTTAAAATAATTATAATACATCATTCTTAAATTTAAGAGTGTTAGCAAATATTTCCTAAGTGTGATAGAGATCAGAAATATTAATATAATAGTGAATGCATAAGGAGGATGCACAATAAATGGAAGAGCCACTTTTAGGGTGGATAATGTATAGACGTTAGTCAATTTGTTTACCTCATTATCATGACAATTCGCTTGCTCGGGATAAATTATCATTTGTCGCTATGATGATATTCTACTATTTCTAAAATATGAATATACTGCATTTTCCTGACTGATATGTGCATTCTTTATATATCCGTTTGTAGGCCTATACGATTTTACCAGAGAAATAAACAGTCATATAAAAAGGGTACAGAGTGGTAGAAGAGGGACAATCTCGCCTACTGTTTTGTTTTATTTTTTTTAAATTGTAGGACGCCGCTGTAGTCCACAGGAGATACGACGTGTAGGGTAAAGAAGGGTTTATGGTTGGAGTATCGTCGTCGTTATTGTCGATAAAATGCTGGATTTATCGTAAATATCTTATTTCCAGGAAGCGTGAGAGAGTGAAGATTGTTATCAGGAAATTTACCAAAGATTAAAGCATTATTATTGCGAACTTTGAGCTGTCATCTGATAAGGATAATCGACTGTGACATTTTTACCAGCAGGCAAAGTGGTGATGGGAATGCCCTTGTCGCGTTCGCCATGTAGGCTAGGCAGATAGCGTCTCTAGCAACCAACCGTATATACCAAGGCGGAATTACTATTTTTATCGAAAGGAATTTTCTTCCGGGTTTCTTTTATTGACAATATAACAATAGTTCTTAACGATACAGTATGGCAAAGTCATTACTTGGAAATTACTGTGAATGTTTATGTAATCCAAGGCTAAGGCCCAGGTTTTATCCAAATCCTGGATGCATATTCAATAATTGGCTGAATTTATTTATTTTTATTACTTTTATTTTATGTCAACAAATTATAGTCGTATCTACACAAGGGGCTTTTCCTCAATTAGTAAACTCTGCCGAAAAAAAATCAATTTTAACTATTCCACAAATAGGAACATGTGGATATAACCCAATTAATGGTGAACTATCAAGAAGCGCTTATTGTCGTAGCTCTACACTTTCTCAATCAACGACTTCTTGCACGCAAGCATTTTGTATCCAGGCCTGTCCATCAAGGACAAATTTTCCAGGAAGCATAAATTTACTCACCTCGGTGAGTGGGAATTGCATTACACTGGACACAAGTTCCGTCAGGCCAGGCTCAGACTCTAGTTCATATGCTTATGTATTCCGCGTTGATCCAAGTGGAAATTGTTATCTTAGTCCTAATAACATTCCTGCAGTTGGAAGTAACGGAGCAGTCACGATAGCTGGTTGGTTCAGACCAGAATCTACCACTGATGGGTAAGTCGGGACATTTTTCATTTTTTCTATTTTATATTCCTATATTTAATTAATATGAATATGTAACATCTTATTTTGAACTTAAAATATATGTGATAAATCTTTTATTATTCTTAATCATAATGTTTAAAAATATATATATATATTATTGTATTCAAATTAAACAATCCAGGGTGTTTATTGATTAATAGGGTTTTTTGAGGGGGTGTTTTTTCAAGAATGGCATTCATTCAAGGGAGGCGTTAATTTTTTTGGTGTATTTACTGAAATGTGGAACAACAACACGTTAACTGTCCAAATGTGTTATTGCGTGATCATAAAGACTTATTGATCCTAAGTTGGTAGAACATATTAAATGGAATGTATTAAGAATGATGTTGCTTCCAATAGGTTTGTTTACGGTCATTTTGGGTGGGGGGGGGTGGTGTTTATTGGAGGAATAAGTAGAGGAACACCCTCGGGCATTTATTCGAGGGAGGCATTTATTCCAAATGAGTTCTAGAGGGGACGTTTATTCAAGGGGGAAGGGCATTGTTCAAATAAATAAGGTATTAATCAACTGGGAAATCATCACCAGTGAAAGAAATAGTTGCACCGCATATGACTGTAGTTTACGACAATGGACAGACTAAGGCTGACAAGAGTTTAGATGGAGTAAATCTCTCACTGACTTTGATAAAATGAAAAATGTAATGTAATATTATTAATATAAACTAGAAAAATTGGAAACTATATTCCATTCATCTTTTTTTTTTAAATATAACTTTATAAACATTTATTAATAGTTATTGCTTTAATCTTCCATTTTTTATTGTACAGTGTCTTGATAGAGCGAAGGAACCCAAGTAATCAGATTGTTTATGCTCTGATGGTGTCTAGTTCAACGATAACGTTCGATTACTTAACGTCTACTGGTGCCAAGTTCCTCGTAGTTCAACATGGCTTTGCTGTCAATCAGTGGCAACACTTTACTCTACAGGTGACAATGTGATGACAAATTATCAAATTGAGATTTTTGATCATAAAGACTCATGTTAATATTTTTATCAATTATTATTACTATTATTAAATTATAGCATGAATGTTGCTACTTTAAGAATAATTATTATTAATAATAATAAACTAGTACTATTATTATTATAAGTGTGACCTGTGACTTATAATAGTTCATCTTTATTTATGAAGTTGGAACCACAAGTCTTCCAGAAACTATAATTAACAAAAGGGTGCATTACAAATTCATATTTATTCATAAACATCTAAGTGGGAGAACACTACAAAATTCAATATAGTTTACATCTAAATACTGTATAAATTATACAAACAGTAAAAATTCAATGAAATGGACATTGAAATAATAATAGACAGATTTTTAAAAATAGCAAAATATTATTTCATACTAACAGTACGTATTAGTAATTAGATGTTTTGCCTCATGAAAAATACAAACAAAAAATATTTAAAAAAAGAAATTGTTTTTGAAATTAACTTACTTATTTTGAATTAAATTAAAAATTTGAAAATAGGAATTAGTGTATTTTAGAAATCTTCGCCCATATTTTTACGATGAAAAAATGATACACTTCTAGTCACTGGAAGTGTTTATATAATTTTCATCATTATCCAGTATAAAAATCAGGGTACACATAATTCAATAATGTCTATGCTCAAACCGAAAGGTCCACTGATTAATCTCAGATAAGATAAGTATAATACACACTCTAAGTATCGAAAAGCACGCCATAGTGTCGGGATTCAATATTTTGACATTAATAATGTCATCAGATAATTGGAGTATGTATTATACTATCTTGTCTATGCTCAAGTTAATAATTTGTATATTACCGGTACTGAAAAATAAGTAAGTTCATTTCAGAACTATATTCTATGATTTTTTTTGTCATTTTCAGGGACATTAATCTCATAATAAGAAATAATGTCTATTGAGACAAACTTTGGCAAATGAAATTTGCTTATCCCTACACATCAACATTACTTCCTCAATTAATGTACCCATAAGTGCTAGTTTTCTTGTACTTGTTGATTATAATACACTGCTTATAAAATCTTTCTCCATTGATTTAAAATTGATGGTCCAACTTTCTTTGTTTTTTCGAAGGTTTTTGGAACAACTGCAAGTTTTTTCATCAACGGTTTAGAAGCAGATGGTACGGCTTTTGACACAAAAACATTGCTTGGACAAATATTAGACTCAAGTAATGGACAGACCCGAATTGGTCAGCGAATATCAGGTCCGTAAATATTTGTGATTTTGTCCTGAATACATTAGTAACTATTTGCTCTATTCATATACTTCGAAATTGGCTTATAATCAATTTAAATATTTTTATAGTACAGTATAAAGTAAGTTAGCGAAAAATTAATTTTTTTAATCTATTGCATTGGAAGTTAATAACTTATCTTTTAAATGAGCATTTTAACATTTTAATTTAATTATTTAATTTTAATATTTTTTTTTTATTTTACCAGAGACAGTATATCTTAAACAAAATATTACAAAAGATGAATATTTTGGTAATTATTATAAAAACTAGGACATCTAGGGAATAAATTCCTCATATTTTATTCAAATAAATAATTAATTATAGTGTGTATGGTATGCTTCTCACAGAGCTCTTTGAAAATTATGATAAACTAGGGAGGAGCAGCAGTTCCCTGGATAAACATTAACAAAGTACAGTGCAGATAATTTTATTTGTTTTTATGTACATTGATTATATATATATACATTCAATTGATTTATAATTATATTGTAAAGCTGTGTAGGGAAGATGGAAAAACGTCATCTGTGAAATGATTTTCTCATCCATGCTGTACATGCTTGCTATAGCTAACAGAGCTTTTTGAAAATATGTGAGGTCTCGCCACAAAATGAGTCTCATGGTTAGAAATATTTGGGTAGATCACATTATAAGCTTTCATTTGGTCTTTGAATGGCTTCCGTACTATAAGTAAATCCAGAGATGTGAGCATTTAAAGTTTAGGTATATAAGAACAACGTTTTGAGAAAATCAGCCTTAAAGATAAACTAACCTGTACAAATAATATGACTAGAATTACAAAATATGTGCAGATAACACTGTTTTGGCAAGAAAATTCACTTACAAGGTATACAATCATAAAATATAAGTATCAAGTTATTAAAAAACATTAAAATCAAAATTTTTGTAAAACTGTTGACCTTTGCCTGTTTAGGTGAATATCTCAATATGATTTCACCAACGATGCGTCTCATTTCGTGGTGAGACCTCACATATGATGAAATATTGTAGGGAGGAGTAGCACTTCCCTGGATAAACAAAAACAAAGTACTGCACAGAACTATACATGTAATATTGATTTGGAGATAATTATTTGATTTTATATTTTATATACATTATATATACACAAGATAAAAAAAAATCCCACATTTATAGAAATTTTATAAAAATCCTAAAATTAGAGGCCTAAGTTTGAAAGGTCAAAAAGAACAAATGTGTAACCATCGTAGCATGCTATTTCCTGATGTTACCATGCTACAAAGCTTCTGAGTGTACATGCTACCACGAATATGCATATGAATGCAGTCAATATGCCTCATTACGCCTGCTACTGTTCTTTTGTTTTGTTCCTATTGTTGTACATAATGGTATCTACTATTAACACCTCCCTATATTATTGCATTATACCTCATTTAGGTAAGCCTTAACTTGCCAGCAGACAGAAAACAAAATTTAAATCAATAATTTAAATGACTGTTTGCATTGATAAATATGATAATAAGTATTAATCACTCTATAGCAAAAAACCATTTAAATTATCAATAATAATGCAAATGGTAAATATGCAAACATTTAAAAAAAAAGTATTGAATAATTGGAATGCAAACATTGCTAGAATATTAGATTAAAAGCAGAAAATAAATAACCTGGTAAACATAAATATTTCATGTAAAAGCAGTTTTTGAGTTGGCTGATAGGTATTGTCCCTGCTCCAGTAGCAGGTCCCTAGGGGCCGAGCTCAAATTTCCGATTTCCTATTAGAATGAGGAGCAATAAAGTAATTATTATTGTTATTATTATTGTTATTATTATTATTATTATTATTATTATTATTATTATTACGCGATTACCTCCAGTTCCTGATGTTCTACTGGATCTTTTGAGCTATATCTCGGCTAATTCCCACAGCTTAGAGACAGAGCACTTTTCTCAATATGTCAGATGTTCCAAGGATGGCTGATCATGCCAGATCTTTGCTTTCTTCGATATGCTTCCAAGTGTACCAATTACGATAGGTATCACTGTCACTTTCGAGGCTCTGTGGATTCTCTTTATTTTAAATGCTGCATATGGAAACGTATCATTTGCTCTCCAAGGTTGCCTTAACCATTGGAGAAAGTAGGATTTTTTTCTCAAAAGTATGTTTTTGGTACAAAATCTATGATTTTCTTGTAATGGCCTAAGCGGATTATGTTGTAAAGAATATTAATCTACCAATTCGTGAAGAAAAAATGAAACAAATTCCTACAGTTTTGTCGGAATACGCTGATTTATAACAGTTCCTCACGCCGATTTAGATAGGCAATTTCAAGAAATTTGAGGTTTTTGGCTGTTTCGAGCCCGTTTCTTACTCCCTCACTCACAGACTATTTGTTTGTTCGAATTGGCCCAAGTGGATTCGTGGAGAGAATATAATAAGCTTGAAGCTGATATAAAACTTAGTATGATTGGTTGGGTATTTTTATCGGAAAATAAGAAAATATAAAATCCATCCAATCCACGATTGCCTCTCATGGGGTCAAAAAATCTCTCAAGTGTAATAGTCCGATTCACTGGTATGACGTCATACTTCTGTTTGCTTGACTTGTGTTCGCCGTGTTTGACTTCATTCTTCGTGTAATTTGGCCTAATTTAGTTATCAGTTGGATTTTTTGTGTACTTTTATTACCTTTATTATGAAACATACCCAATGTTTTTAATTGGTCGATCCAAACTGCTTGTACAGCGGGGTTGATTTGACCTCAGTTCGCTGCGTCAGTGATAGCTGGACTAGCAAATGATAAAAAGGGGTAAAATGTTTCCATATGGTCCTGATATTTATCCATCTTCTCTTCTTCAGTCTTGATGATGTTCTGGTCTGCTGGTATAGATTTTTTTGATTTTTTTATTAATGTTATTGTTGTTAAAAATATGTAATATATCATTGTCTAAGGTCAAAGCCAGCATAACTTTGGTTTTTATATTCTCTTTTTTAAATATGGTTCATATTCAAATAACTTTTCATGGTTTCTATTGTTACCTTACAGGGTCAAACCAGTATGTGGGTCGTATGCAGGATTTCTACTTTTATCAATACACTTTGACCAATCGGGAGATAGAAGAGTTAGCAACAGGAGTCTTCCCAGAGGTTCATGTCCAATCAGATTGTAGATGTCCAGATAGCCATCCACGAATAAACCCAGTTGAAAGTCGTTACTGCATTCCGAATGGTGTCTCTGACACGACTTCCGATCAGATGTATCGCTTGGATGAAAACGCACACCCTTTGACCTTTGCCAATGATGGTGACCTTGGCAGCTACTGGGTCTCATCCTTCACGGATGATTTACTCGTTCAAATTGATCTAGAAAATGGACAGTATCAGGTATGTAAATGTTGTGGTAAACATCAGATCTTGGAGATCCCTTGCTCCATCCCTCTTCTCTGTCCACATTCTCGGTTACTTTTACCAAAGATACTACAAACACAAGATAGGGCACTCGCATAGCAAAAATGAGGCGGAAATCTGTCGCTTCTTTTATGCAGATCCAGGCGTAAGCGGCACCCTTCTATTTTCAATAGCAGCAATTTACGCAAGTTAATCCAGACCACATCCAGACATACATGACGCTCTTCTGTTGCTAAGTAAATCCAGACGTATGCGGCACCCTTGTCTTTCCGCTTATGATGGAAACTCTATTACTAATTGGAGTCTGGTCCTAAAATTCTGCGCTTTTGTGTCTGTCATTTTATTCTTTTGATTTATTTATGCCTACTTTTTTGTATCTTATGGATAATGGCAACAATTGGAGGTTATGTACTCAGAGTTTTGTTATGGCAGAAGTTTTTTAGATCCAGCCGTACACGGCGCCCCATTGTTTGTATTCCCACCATGCATTCTATCTTGTGTTTCTAGTATCATTGCTTTTACTGTAAGTGTTATGCAGACTTCAAGTTGCATGACAGTTATTTCATAACACTTTTCACTATTCAGGAATGCAATTTTCCACAAACTGTATTACTATTCATAACTGTTGTCTTCATTCCCTTAGGTGTTTTATGTAGTCCTCCAGTTCTACAGTCCACAACCAACTGCTCTCACCATCTCAAGAAAGGCAGAAGACTCCCTGTCATGGTCCCCATGGCAGTACTTTGCTGACAATTGTCAGACGCAATTTGGCTTACAGAACAATGGTCCACTAGCAACTGCCACATCTGTCAATTGTATTCAGTTCTCAACGTAAGATATCCAATTTTCTGTTTTAGTATTTAATTTGTTTCTAATTCAAATTGGGGCAGTATAATTATACCTATTGCAAAATCTGTACGTAGGTAAGAATCTTTGTGTTCACCTGTAAACTCCTTTCCTTCAGTGAGGCTGAAATTCCCTACTCCAAGGGCAACATCACCTTCCAACTGCTATCACCGGAGCCAGTAGCTAGGCCAGGCTACAATGATTTCTACAACACGCCCGAATTATTGGACTTCGTTAAAGCATCCCAAATCCAAATACAAATGCAGGGACATTATCATACATCACATGCTAGACATAACTATTTTGGAATTGAGGAGATTACAGTCAGTGCAAGGTAAATTATTGATTAATTCATTCATTTTTTTTATAATTGGAAATTACATTGTGAAAAATAATTAACACTAATGTTCACAGCATGTTCACAAGATGACTGGTCCATGGATACTGTAAAGTGCTTTGATCCTTGTAAAAGAGCCAACAAGAACGATTTTTAATTATTGGTTCCTATGCTTGCAAGCATAGGAACTTTTAAACTCCTGGTCGTCTGTATTAGTATGTACGTTACTAGTATGTTACGCAGTTTTTTGGTAAACAGGCAAACGTGACTTTCCAGACATCTGTTTGTTTTGTGCGCCCGTACCCAAGATAATCTGGATCTTTTGTTGTGCCCTATTTCATAGTTTTCTATTTTGACAAATATTAAAGCCATACTAATGAGAGACAATAACCCCCTACTCTTGAAAAGACTAGTAAACTGTATGATAAGAGGTAAACATTTATGGAATGTTGTGTACTCTCATTGTCCAAACTAACTGTCTTAAATGTGATGGATCGGACTCCAGGGACTTTCCTGGCTGGTATGGATATAAAACTTTATCTGCGCTCCAAAAACCTCAATTTTATACTACTGCAGTTTGGATAAGGTTCTACAGCAGACAGAATAGAATTGTGTTGTGTATGAAAGTGTTGTGGTTTGAAAAAAACATAAAACAAACGTGATACCTGACTGGATACAATAATCCTTTTGCAGCTTCTATCGGATAATAGACTAACGTGTGTACAGTACGGTAGAGTGAAACCATTGTTGGCTCAGTTCCGACCGAATACACTCTAAGTTAATACATTTTGAATAATTTAAATAACGATAAGTGATATAATAAAATTATTCTGATATATTTTTCTAGCACTTACCTTTTAATTACTTTTACAGATGTAATTGTAATGGTCATGCTACAACCTGTGATCTCAGTCAAAATCCATATGTATGCAATTGCTTAGCTGCCAGCTATACTCAAGGAACACAGGTGAGATATGCAAATTTTATCAGGTGTTCAAATTCACCTGTCACTCATGTGGTTAAAATCATGTTTTGTTTGGGATAACGGTTTGGTGGTTAAAGCACTACACGGTCGCTACAGCCTTTTCATTGCAATCCTTGCACTGCGTAGATGTACTCGACGCAATTAAAGGAGTCGGTGATAGAGTGGAGGGATTTTTATGGGAACCAGACTTAAGGTGCCCTGCCTCCCAATCTTGGGTTCATATTCTATAGGAATATTTTCTCACAAAGAACAACAACTTTATTCCAAAGTGTCACTTGGCTAAGAGATGAATGATGATGAATTTATAATTCTACCAGTAAAAATGTTTATGGAATTAATTATAGTTATTTATGAACCTTAGATGTAGGGCCAAGTGATGGGAGTTGGGGCAGGTGAATGCCCAACCTGTTTCTCACTTGTCACAAGATTTTTTTTTTTTGGCTTTGATGATTCAAAATAAAGATTGATGGCAGCGATGATAAAGATGATGGTAGTGATGATGAAAACATCCTTTTTTTATTGGGCGCATTGGTGAACATAGACTGTCAGATGAAATACAATCAAAATTCTTTCAGCCAATCAATTCTTTACAGAGATGATGTATGCGTAATTAGCATTTGAAGTCCTGTAGACATGTGTCTGTTGCAGATTTATGTTTCTAAAAGTGTTGTATTTTTTATCTTCTTAGTGTTCAGAGTGCTTGCCTCTGTACAATCAGAAACCTTTCCGCCATGGTAACCAAATAGAGGCCTACAACTGTCGACCGTGTTCGTGCAACAACCACGCGTCAAGTTGTCATTACAATATATCACTTGACCTTTACCCCACAGACCACTACAGGTAAGTTGCTCAAGTTTATTTTATAAATCTTTTAAATAATTAAGAAAATTTTATATATGACATTTTGTTATTCACAGTATAACCATTTAGTGGCTCGAGTGTAGTGCTGGTTTTAAAGAAAACCGTCATACCTTAAAAATAAGTAAAACAATAATGAATCCCTATACACAAGTAATACAAGTTGTTTTCAGAAAGTAACTACACCAGTATCAATGAATTACAGACAGTAATTCAATGTTATTGTAAAAATTATAAGGCTGCTCGAAGAGCATCTCTGTTGTGAAATTTTAAATGAAGAATGATTATTATTATACCTGTGACATATGATGTCTTAACAGTATTTATTTAATTATTCAATTAACAGGGGTGGAGGAGGTGTATGTGACAATTGCCAACACAACACACAGGGTAGATATTGTGACCAGTGTACCAGCGGACACTACCGTGTTTCAGGGCGCCCTCTAAATGCTGTTGATGTATGCACAGCATGTGACTGCTTTGTAAATGGTACGATTGGTGGATCTAATCAGTGTGACATTGTAAGTACTGGAGCCAAGGGTATGCTTGCATTATTATTTTAAAAATATTGATTGTAAACCTTGTAGGTTGGGATGAGAGTTAATTGCAACACTACAAATTTCAATGTTTAACTGATTAAATGTAAACTCTTTGGGAGAAATAGTAAATTGGTACACAATAAATTTCATTGTTTAAATATAAATACAAATGATAAATGAATTTTAAAAATTTTATGAATTTAAATAAATGAACAATATTATTGATGGAATAGAAAGATTGAACCTGGTTATAGTACAGAGATTGAGATTGACCGATAAGTCCAGAGATATTTTGATATTTGAAGTGAGCCCTCTATGTTGATTTTGGTTACTTACAGGTTGGTGGTCAGTGCGACTGTAAGGTGTTCACAACAGGACGTCGGTGTGATCAGTGTGTTACAGGATTCTTCAACTTACAAGGGAGCAATGTGAATGGCTGCGAACCATGCACATGTAACGCTGCAGGTACCATTAGTGGGTCAACAACATGTGAATCAACTGGCGAATGTACCTGTAAAGCGAACGTTATCGGTGGGTTTAATTATTAGGACATTGGAATTCTGCTTACATTTTGGTTTCTTGTATTGGGATTTAAGAAGGCATTCAGATAGGCATTTTCTTAGTGCTTACATTGTCAATGGCGGATTCAAGGGGTTGGGGGGCATTCCCTCCCTAAATTTCTCAAAATTGTATTCAAAAAAAGAAAATTACATTCAAATTTAAGTCTGAGAGAGCCATTTCCAGCCATCCAGAGGTGCCATAATCATAAAATTTTCTTATCTCAGCCTCAACCATGGTGGGACTAAGGTGGTCTAGACCCTTCATTTGTGAATAACCCTCCCTGGGCCCCCCTCAATTTCTGGATCTGCCACTGATTTTCTTTTTCATGAATACTTAACTGCATAAACCAATCATTGCCATTATTTCTTTAAATGAACACCTCCACAAAGAAATAGAATCTTCCATCACAGGGCATCTCTTTACCATGTCAATTTTTATACTTTTATTTTTTGCAGGTGACAAATGTGACAGATGTAACTATGGTTACTATGGTTTAAGTGCTTCTAACCCCAATGGATGCAACCTCTGCACTTGCAACACTGATGGGTCCAATAGTGTGTACTGTGATCCTACCAATGGTCAGTGTCAATGCAGTGACACTGTCCAAGGTCAGAATTGTGATGAATGTCGCGATGGTTTCTATGGTCTTAGTAATTCTGGATGTTCGCCATGTGATTGTGATGCTGCAGGGACCGAACCAAATACTAACTGTGATAAGATAATTGGACAGTGTATCTGTAAAGTTAATACTCAGGTAAGAAGACAGTTCTCATTGTTTCTGATTTATATTATTTTGATTATTAATTCATTATGCTATCAATAATAATAATGGTTAAAATTTATTTATTTATTTATGTAATTAGTCGATAATAGTCAAATAATTGGGGGAAAAGTCTTGCAAGTGATTTGGGTGGGAATCAAACCTACGACCTCTAGATTATTTGGGAACATACTGAGTATTTAGTATAATAAATATCATTCTTACTATTTTAAACATTACCTGCAGAAAACATGTTCTATCATATGACAACTGTATTTTGGCCAATAATAATTAATGGCAGTAAATTATGTTATATGTTTTTTACTGCAGGGTCTTCGGTGTGACCAGTGTAGAACAACTTACTATAACCTTCAACCTAGTAACTCTGTTGGATGCACCTCATGTAGCTGCAACCCTTCAGGAACTATTGGAGGTAGCCTAGTATGTAATGCTCAATCAGGACAGTGCCTTTGTAAGACTTACACAACTGGTCAGACCTGTAACCAATGCACAACCAACTACTGGGGCCTAGATGCCAGTAATGTTGATGGTTGCCAGCCTTGTGCCTGTGATGAGACCGGGGTTGATGCCCCAGCTGTCTGCGATCAGAATAGTGGACAGTGCTCATGTATTGTTAACAGGTACGGACGTCGGTGTGATCAGTGCTCCGGTGGGACATACCTCGCACCTAATGGAGGAAGAGGCTGTGTGCAGTGCAACTGCCATCCCATGAGCTCATTGTCTGGTAGCGTATGTGATGCTGTCAATGGACAGTGTCAATGTGTCGATGGTGGCTCTGGTGTGACTGGTAGAAGATGTGATTCCTGTTTACCAGGCTTCTTCAACTTTAGTGATGCTAGTGGGAGATGTTCTTTGTGTTCCTGTAACCCTGCTGGTAGCGTGACAACTTCTACCTGCGATACAAACACCGGCCAGTGCCAGTGCAAAGACCTTGTTACAGGGCGTCAGTGTGACACCTGTGTGTCAGGATCTAGTAACCTTGATGTCAGTAACCCTCAAGGATGCAGTAAAGGTAAGATCTCTCTTACAAAATTTCAAAGTTCAATCACCATTGAATTTAAAGTGCAAAGACTTACTGTCATGTATGCAACCCCATTGGTTCAACACAGATGAAACAATTAAATTAACACAAGCAAAATGCCTTCTTCTTTCCATTTATTTCTTACTTGTCCATCCGGTAAACTATATTAAATCAAATTTAAAAAAATATCTTTTATAAGTAATAAATCTAAGCATAATAAATAATTATTCTGTATAGTTGTGGCAAGTTCTAAGCACTGCCTTACTATAGAACAGGTGGACACAACAATCTAATTTTCAGCCTATAGCTTACTTTTAGCATGAACAAAAGTAAATTGGCTACACAGCCATAGTTTACATACATGCTAACTGCTAGAGTAAATTATTAAAGACAACCCTACCTGGATTGGAGGAACATTAGCTACACAGGAAAGCTAAATACTCTTAACTGCACAGGCCAGTTCTATACTGTGCTCTCACAGTGCAACACACTACTGCACTAGCTAACAAAACACAGTAACAATGGCTAACTCATTCAGTAACAATGGCCAACTGATTTACATATACAGGTGAGGTTTGCCTTCACCATACTTTCATACAGATTTTAGAATTAAGCTATAAAAGAAGTTAAATGTTACATATCATGCACATAACACTTGGTGCTCATGCTTCCATGCAGTCTCTAATATTCTTTTTAATAAACTTTTTTAAAACTCATCTGTTCCAGTAGATTAATGGTCTTATAGTGCTGTGAGACAACAGTAAAAGATGCTTTATAAATGTTACTTATTATATTTAATGTGGTACGGTAATCTTTGCTATCTAAAAAATAACAAAAACAAAAACAAAACAAAACAAACAAAAAATTAAATTAAAAAAGCAACAAAAAATTAAATTTAAAAATAACATTATTTATTTCGATTTTTTCAGCCCCATCACAGCAGCCTTCTCCTACCTGGCAAGCTATCAGCCCTTACTCCCTCCTCTTGTCATGGCGTCCACCTGATGAACCCAATGGCAATATCTTAGCATACAACCTCTTCAGGAATGGAGGACTAATCTACAGCGGTATCGATAATAATAATTGGCAAAGTAAGTTATCACTGTCAGTTAGTAGGAAAACCTATTGTACAGAGGTTTAATAAAGGGTATTGGATGATTCATTCTATATGGATCTATTTTGCCATTAGTCAAAATATCATGACAGCACAGTGCTGAATTGAGGTAAGATGGACAAATAGCAAATCAAAATATGAATAAATATGAGTTAAAATTACAAGATAATATAAAGATTAGAAATCAGTGGTAAATCAAATGACATGAGCAGAATTACAGCACATTTTCACAAAATCACACATTAAACAAACAACTGAACAAGTTTATATAACATCAAATCGGAATTAAATAGACATATAGGAAAAATATTATTGTTGGTGTGCATATTAGTATTATTATTGGTAGTGGTGAATTGTCTTGATTCAGAGTATTCTTTTGACCAAAATGATTTTTTATTATTGGAGTAAGACTCTGATGTTTTTGAATGTGCAGTTAATATTGAATTTGAATTCAGACACTTTGGATTTATCAATTTACTAACAGTCAATTTTCGACATTACCACAGGTACCCAAGAATATATAGATGACAGTTTAACACCTTACACACAATACACTTACTATGTACAAGCAGTGAATGAAGCAGGTACTGCTCAAAGCCCGTCAGTGGTTGCTAGGACACCAGATGTTATCCCATCTGGCTTTGACGTATTGACAGTATCCAACATCGGACCAAGAACAGCTTTCTTCTCATGGTATAAACCAACAGGTAATACCTCAGTCGAATTTGTGGATAATTATTTGTGGCAAAGACAAGCCAAACCAGTCACTCGTTGCAAATCCTGTTTCAGGGATAATGGTCAAAACATGCTGGAATGTTGAAATTTTTGAAATCTATTTTATTACACTAAACTAACTTTTATATATCTGTATATCATGGTATGTTGTTATTTTCACCAATTTTAATGTTAAAACAACAATTTTGAACGATTTGGTGATGGTTTTTGCCTAAGAAATGCCCAAAATCATAAACTTTGAAGGATGATTTCTCACATATTGTTGTTTAAACAATATATTTTTAAACTCCTGTAACTTCAAAATGAAAGGTTGAATTTAAATGATTCTTTTACTATTTTATAGCTCTCATTTTACTGTTTAGCCCTGTATTAATAACTAAGAAAAAAAATCAGTTTTTGCAACGAGTGACTGGTTTGGCTTGTCTTTGCCACATTTGCTCGATAGATTAACTGATATACCGTAAAACCTTGAATTGAAGCCCTGGGCTTCTTTTTTTGCTAACTTTTGGTGGGCTTCCTTTCGATATGGGCTTCTTTTACTGGCTACATTTGCAAAGTGATGATAGGGGCTTCTTTTCAAAATGAATGCTGTAAATTTTGGGAATTACTACTGTAAAACAATAAATAGGGCCACTGTAACATCAATCTGTATCATGGAGTGTATTAACTGGCATTAAATCACCTAATTTACTGTATAAACCAAGCATGTTTTTAATTTATTTTTTTGCCTTGAAATTCATGTACATTATGTGTACTGTACTATTTCGAAGATTTTAAGGAAACAAGGCTTTTTAAGAATACCACCAGTGGCGGATCTAGGATTTAGCAATGGGGGGTGGATAATGGGAGGTGAGTAGGACTCAGTGGGGATGGGGGGTGATTTTGGGAAGGGCATCCCCTCCCATTTTTTAGGCTTGTTTGGAATTAGTAGACTGTTAGACGATCTTAGATGGCATCTGAAAAGAAGCAAGCTTAAGATAGAAAGTGTATGTTTTACCAGAGTACACGAGAAGCACACACAAAGGACAAGTGACCATTATTTTTCTTTTCATGGTAAACGAAGCGGGGTTGCTAGCCACCCTATTCACCCCCCCTCTAGATCCGCCACTGACCACTTTCATCTTTTAACTAGCAAGTCACATGATGTTAGATGTGAAATAAATTGGCAATATATATAAAAAATATGAATTTTTTTTTTAATTGTTTTTACAGTGATAAGTGCTCCTCTGGACCAGTATGTCTTGACATCCGTCTCTCCGAGTCGTCCAACGCCGCCGACAACCCACTACTCTGGCTCAGCTACAAGCTTCCAGGCCAATGATCTTGTACCTTTCACTAACTACACATTCAGGCTAACAGTTTGCTCTTCTGATGGATGTGGCCAGGGAGTTGGCATCACTGTCTACACCCCACAGGCACCGCCAGAGGGCTTAGCACCACCAACACTGACTGCGCTGTCTGCCACTGAGGTGTATGTTGAGTGGAATCACCCAACAGAAGCAAATGGTAAAGACAGGACTTACAATTTGACGTTTATTAGTTTACATTCAAGTTATAGAAAGGAAAATTTATTGTCACAGTATTAAATATTTACATTGTAAGATTTTGTTTCTTCTAATTGGTATCATATATTCTAATCAACCAGCTTTTTAATTTTAAAACAGTTTTAAAAACGTGATTTAATTTTGGAATGTTGTCAGAAAATATAGATAATTTTTTATATTTTTATAGGTATTATCACACACTATGAGCTATTCATTAGGGGTGCACCCGATGCAAATGGGGTAATAGATCCCCCAGAGTCAAGAATCTTCTACCCTGCAGGCTGGTACAACCCCAGGCCTACCGTGACACCAGGAGAAGATCCCGTTAGTGAACCTACTACCAACTTCACCCAGGAAAATCTGGAACCATTCACAGAATATGAGTTCAGAGTCACTGCCATGAATCAAGCAGGAACTGGGCAGAGCGAGTGGGCATTTGTTAGAACTTTAGAAGCTGGTGAGTGACTACTACAAGTCAGTCCCTTTGTATCCATCAAAAATATTATTTTCTTTCATTTTTTTTTCATTGCATGTTTAACCATTTTTTCGCTTGAATAATATTGTTCTTTCCTTTTGTAAATCTTAGATCCACTATCGATGCCATCTCCTGTTGCTGTTGGTATTAGCAGTACACAACTAAATGTGTCATGGACAGAGCCCTCAACGGACCAGGCCAGGGGTGTGATAATTCAGTACAAGCTTTATCAGTTCCTCATCTCCTTTGATCCGTTTGCTCCTCCGGAATCAACCCAAGTAAGTTGATTTATTGATGATAAATTATAATAACCAAAAATATATTTGTAAGCAAATAGAAAATAAAAAATTTTTATTTTTAACTTTCAGTTGATTTATGCTGGTCCAGGATATGTCACATTTTACATTGTAAGTAATTTGGAGCCGTATTCAAGCCACGAGTTTGCTGTGGAGGCCTGTAACAGCAAGGGATGTGTAAGAAGTGACAGAGGGAAGGGAAACACTTTACCTGACGGTAAGTAATAATAATAGTATGATATTGAATTAATAATAATAATAATATCTACACAAATACAGCTGTGTGATGCATGGCTTTTAATACCAGTGTTAAGTGTATAATCTATGTGAAATCTTAGATCAGAACACCCAATTTTCTAAGTCCTATAAAATTACACAGTATACATCCTCATTTCCATTTCACTTTTCATTTCACATTAACATTATTTTTCTATGTAGAATGAAAGAAAAGTTAAGATAAATAACTTGTTTATTTCAATTGATCAACTTGATTTTCTAGCCCCAGAAAACCAAGAAGCACCCTTAGCTGATGGCTATAACATCACCACCATCCAGGCAAGCTGGTTGCCTCCAGTAGTACAGAATGGACCAGCACCTAGCTACTACCTGCAAAGGATGCCAGCCTCCCTAAATAGCCCACCTCCTGTTGTTGAAATGGGATCAAGATTCCCAGGAGGGGGATACTATAGGTTTTCGGGCAGTTTGATTCCAACATCCTCCTACACAGGTAAGACATCAGTTAAGGTCACAGTTTAGATAACCATTAGGATCTCGAATATTTGTATTGGACTTTATTTTTATTGAATGTTTTAACATATTGGACAGTTATGTATATATATTGCAAAAGCTTAATGAAGTTTCCTTATTTTTATGAAAGGTATTGAACTCGAATTTCGCATCCGCCGTCCACCTCCTTCCTCTCGGGCAGTCAGTGCTCTCCTTCTATTTGCTGTCTCCTCTGGAGAACAGGAGGAGTACATTGTAATTCAGCTTAGAGATGGCAGACCTTGGTTTTTGTTTGACCCTCAAGGGGGCGCTGTTGGTGTCACCACAACAAATGATGGAGGAAAGACATATGATGATGATAACTGGCATCATTTGAAAGTTACTCGAGATGGAACTCGTGGTTATATTACAGTGGATCAAGTTTACACAGGTATTTGCTAATTGATTCTATAACTTATTATCAGTAGTGACTCCTGGAATTTGCCGGCAAAGGTCCAACAATCCAAGAGGAGATTCGAACCAAGAGGCTGTCCCAGTCAGGGTTCCTGGAATGTAGTCTCTGGTGGACTTCATGGGGAGAGAGTTTATAGTGTAGGATGGCCCAAAATTGTGCTTTCAGTCAACAGTAAGTGATTGGCAATCACTTCGTTTGAATTGGCAATTTCCCCCCCCCCACCATCATCCTCTCCCAGCTGGCACTGCCCCTGATTAGTATACACACCATAAATTTCGACACACAGGATTATGAGTTTTTTTAGTCATGGTAAATATTTTAGACATTTCTATAATATCAAAATTGATTTCACTTTTTTTTTAGGATCTGCTTTGTCTTCAACTGCCTCATCAATAATTGGAATCACCGATAGCGTGTACATTGGAGGACTACCAGCTGACTTTTTTATGATCCGCACGGACACCGGTAACACAGAGGTTATCCGTACAAGCTTTGTGGGTTGTATGAAAAACGTGCAAATTGAGAGACAGCACATACCTACAGAGGTGTGGCAGGTAGTGGACTGGTCTGATGCAGTTGATAGCTACCAGGTGGTTCCTACGTGGCAGGGATGCCCCATTGATCTGGATACAGGAGTACACTTCCTCGGTGGAGGTAAGATAATGTGCTTTGGCTTCCAACCGAAACATAGTCTGAGGCCAACCACTTGTTTGTGTTACTGAACAAGGCGCTTGTTCTGTGTTGCTTCTCTCCACCTATGGTTTAAATTCATATCTGTTATGATAGTTTACAGATAATTATACACCATTGAACATGCTCCAAAGGATTGACAAAAGGTTACATGAATGATTTTTCTTTCCCATATTTAGGTTATGCAGCCATACCAGCAGCACTGTTGTCTAGTGGTACTAACTTCATAATTCAGTTTGAGTTTCGTACACTGATGGATTCAGCAATGCTAATCTTCTCACACGGTACCAATGGTGCTTATCTCATCCTGCAACTTGTATCTCAGGACATGCAGGTACACACTAATCAAAGTTGCTAATTAATATTCATCGTCAAAGTTATTAATTAATATTCCTCATCAAAGTTGCTCATAATTATTTCAATCATCAAAATTGTCCATCAATATTTCCTTCTATATTTGAGCCTGGTTTTTTGCATGAAATATTAGGACTGTCAGTATATGAATGAAGAAGTGGAAGAAGTTTATTTAGTTATTCCATAATTTGTTTCCCCAGCTTCAAGTTTTTGGAGGTGCAGGTGTGTCTACCCTGCTGTCGGCCACTTCAACCACACTCTGTAGCGGACAGTGGAACACAGTGACCATTAGCAGAGCTGGTAACAGCTTGTCGTTGACAATCGGAGGTGGAACAGCAAGCACCAGAGACATAGGCTCTGGAGAATTGAGTCTAACATCTGATATATTTATAGGAGGACTCCCTCTAGGGTCTGATTCATTCCAGGTAGCTACAGGAGCTGGTCTCAATATCCAACCTGGTAGGTACTACAATAATTGTAAGAGTTGAATATTTCAGGGTAGTACCTCAAAGAAAAATCTTAAATGAAAACTGTCACTTAGGTTCAATAATAACGTTAATTTTTATAGCACCATATTCGCAAAAGAACTAGGTGGTGATGTCTAAAGTCAAAGGAGAAAAAAAAACAATTGTAAACTCTTTTGTAACTATCAAAGAGAGATTTGAAGCAGGATTTAATCAGAATTAATTTTAGATCTTTGAAATACTGGTTCAAAACACACTTAAACTCCATTAATTTTTTTAGTCATTCCTCTTGGAGAGGTTTGACAAAGAAATGCAAATTTCTAGGTGGAACATAAAAGTTCAACAGACTACAAATGTATTTTGGTTCTGGTATGTTAAGAGGCAGCCAACATTACTACTATTAATTGTTGTTAATGTCTTCAGGTAACTCCATTAATATTTATAGTCATTGTTCAGGGAGAGGCTTGACAAAGGAATGCAAATTTCTAGGTGTAACATAAAGGTTCAAGACTACAAATGTCAAGTCAAAGCTCAAGCTAAACCAATCACTCGTGGCAAAAATGGATTTTTAGTTTTACATACAGGGTTAAACAGTAAAATGAAAGATATAAAATAGTAAAAGAGTAATTTAAATCTGACATTTCATTATGAAGTTACAGGAATTTAAACATACAGCTGTTTAAACAACAATATTTGAGAAATCAGCTTTCAAAGTTTATGATTTAGGGCAGAAACAGGCAGAAACCATCACCAAATCGATAAAAATTATTGTTTTAACATTGAAAATGGGAAAAATAACAGCATAATATAATAAAAAAGTATATGTAAAGGTTAGTTTAGGTCAATGAAATAGATTTCAAAAATTTTGACATCTTAGCATGTTTTAGCCATTTATTTCTAAACCAGGATTTGCAATGAGTGACTGGTTTGGCTTGTCTTTGCCACAAATGTATTTTGGTTCTGGTATGTTTAAAGGCTGCCAACATTACTAATTACTAACTACTATTTGTTATTGTATTTAGGTCTCGGAGGATGTTTTCAAAACATGGCCATCAACAGTGTTATCGTTGATCTTGAAACACAAGCAACAGACATCTTGAATGTAAACTTAGATGGTTGCCCTTCCATCACCTCAACATCCACCACCTGCACTATGCCTGCTATCATCAATGTATACTCAGGACAAACTCGTGTAGCATATGATACAGGCTTGGATTCCTACACTGAATATATGTATCGTGTTGTGTCAACCAATGAAGCAGGTTCAACAACCAGTGAATGGACAAGAGCTAGGACAAGAGAAGGAGGTATATGTTCATGTCTTGTTATCCTTCATTTTATAAAATAGATTAATATCTTGCATATCATTATTTGGTTATAAAACCTTCAATTAGGATTATGGAAATGTGCAATATTAACTTACCTTTATCATATTTTTCATCATCCTCTTTGTCCTCTCCCACTTAATTGGCCTTCATTATGTTTACATCTATACACATTGGTTTCTGATTAGTTTAAGATATTTATTCATTCACATTTATTTTCAATACAGCTCCTGTGGGTGTGTTACCACCACTTGATCCAGAATCTGTAACTGGCTACATCATCCGTGTACGCTGGATACGTCCAACAGGGAATAATGGAGTGCTTATTCAGTTTATCCTGACAGCTTATAACCAAGATCAACCAGAATTACTAAATGTCATCGCCTATTTCAATGATACGTCACCTGAAGAATACATTGGTGAGTGCGTGTAGTTAAACTGTGGCATGGCAGTTAAGATTCTTTTTTCAACTTAAGAGTTCCTGCATTTAATCCAAGCAAAAACAGGACTTTTCTCATAACCAAAGAAACAACTCCACTCTCAAACATCATGAAACAGTCTTGTAAGAGGATTGGTTATAGTCTTAACATCGACGCTGGTTCCAGCTGCTCCTCACCCAGGGTATGGTTGGCAGGGCAACCATGTCTTGTCAGATAACGACTTAAAAATGGGAGGTCCAATGCATACATCTTGCTCGTTTGCACTTTAAACTAACAAAAATAGGATGTTTCTCATAACCAAAAGCAACTCCACTCACCAACCTCATGAAGAGACATACTTATACAGTATAAGGGGTACAATGATTAGATCTGCACTCCCAAAGCCTCCATAAACTTGGATAATCAACCATCCCAAAAGAACAGCTCTGGACTTAAAAATCTTCATTAAGAGACTTGGTTATAGAGGATCAAATGTCTCAAATGCTCAGCCATCCACTCCCCCAAGTCTTGAAAGCTTCAACATGATCAGCTCCTCACGCCCCCAGTCTCGCGTAGAGATTCGGTTATAGAGCATCAACAGTCCCAAACGATCAGCTTTGCTTGATGCACTGCCCCCATAAAAATATTGGAATAGTGGGAACAAAACATGCTTTCTCTCACCTTGTTATAGTCACCAACCTTCAGATTTTATGTCTCCCTTTCAAGTTCACAGTTTCATACTTATTTCAATATATTTTTTTTAGGAAACATAACTGGAGTTGTACCTTACACCAATTATCAGGTCACACTTACAGCTTGTACTGAAGGAGGGTGTACAGAAAGTCTACCAGTTAGTATAGCTACCAAAGAAGAAGGTAAAGAGGGAAAAAAAGTGTAAAATAATTTTAGTTGGTTGAGATCATCAAATCTTATAGGAATATTTTCTTTTCCAATCATCAGTATTTTTTGGCATGAATCAATTTTAATCTCTCTGAATATTGTATATTTGGTATGTAAAAATTGTATTTATAAATATAAGTATTTAAAAAAAAAAATTATTTTCACTACAGCACCAGAGGGAGTAAGTCCACCTAGGGCACTCACTTCCACAGGCAATTCAATAACAGTTGGGTGGGATGAACCGGAAAAGCCAAATGGATTAGTGCGTCGGTATCAGCTGTTCATGAACAACATCGGCCTCTATCAGGGAACAGTCAGATCATTCACTGTTCATGGCCTTAGTATATACACCGCATATGACTTTTATGTAACAGGTAAGATATGATAATATAAAATTTATATTATGTATTTATAAATATAAGTATTATATAAAAATTAATGTATGATTTATATTACCATCCTAATTATTATTATCTATTACTTAGCTTGTACTAATGTTGGATGCGGTCAGAGCCCAGAAGTTACCCTCACAACAGCACAACTTCCACCATCTGATGTCACTCCCCCAACACTGTATGTCCGAGGTGCAAGACTTATTGAAGCTCAATGGATTCCGCCGTCGCAGCCTAATGGGGTCTTAGAACGTTATGTTCTATTCTTATCTACTCAGTCTTTTTTCCTGGGAGAAGAAATTTACAACAGTACCGCCCTCTTTCTGGACTTTATTATCACAGATCTTACCCCAGGAACTACATATTATGTCACATTGGTGGTAAGTTGACCCATCATGTCTATTGAAGTTTTACATCAAGGGGGTTTTTTCACAATTTCATGTTACCAGTAGGTACATTCAAATTTTCTTTTATCTGGTTGTAGGCTTGTAATGATGGTGGATGTACTAACAGTGCTCCGAGTGTGGCTGTTACACATGAGAGTACACCAGAGGGCGTGCCAGCACCAACTGTAACAGCTCTTAGTCCCTATGGACTCCAGGTTGAGTGGACAGAGCCAGACCAACCAAATGGTTAGATTTTGTCATTTATTAAATTAGTTCAGTAAATTTTGTTGAGGTACAAGATTCATAATTACAATAAGATACGTATATTCAGATTGTACACTAATGTATGCTGTTGTAAGAATTTTTCCAGGCCATACAAAATCAAATCTTCGTCATTTTCAGGTTTTATTACCAGTTACGCTTTGTATCAGAACAACATCGTAATCCAAAATGGAACAGCAATGTTTCGAGTCATATCCAACCTATTGCCGTACAGTCTGCACATCTTGCGTGTGGAAGCGTGCACGGTAAAAGGGTGTTCAATTGGACCAGAGACAAGAGCACGTACTCAAGAATCAGCCCCTGTTGGTAGTATCTCGCTGGCGGTGGGTGTAGTGACATCAAGGAGTGTGTCAGCACAGTGGACTGCACCTGCACAACCTAATGGCGTTATGATATACCAGGTGTTATTCACCGGCCTTTTCTATTTATCTCCTGGTATGTCGCTCAACTGTTCTTTGACATATTTCCTTAAAGTTTACTATTTATTATATTATTTACTAATTATGATATTTCCTTTCGCACCTTTGATCATTTATTTTGAAATTGGTGCATAACAAATGCTTATTATTATTATTAAACATTGAATTACTAATGTCAAAGTTCAAGCAACTTGTATATGGACACAGATAATTTACTATAAAATCTTCACCAGCTAATTTATATGCCTATGTAAAAAATATAATAATAATTTTTAAGGCACTTATTTTCTTGACTCTTATGCACAGTAAAAGTAAAATTACATAAAAAAATACAATAGCAAAAGTACTTTGCCTTAAACTAAAACATGATTGGCCGTCTGCTTTAAGAAACTCAACTTCAAAATATTTTATTAATACTTCTATAATTGATGAGGAAAGTATTTTCTCGTTCTAATCTAAAGGTGAAATCTCTAATTTCATAGGATGATTAGAATTTTATAATTTTTAAACAAAGATTTTACATTTTTTTCAATAGAAACTGGAAATTATAACACATTTACTACAACCAGACCACTGTATAATGGAACGGATTCGGAAACACCTGTGCTAATTGATGGATTGATTCCGTACACGACATACAATATCCAGGTACAAGGAATGAACACCAAAGGAAGTCTGACCAGTAACACAGAACCAGCTACCATGCCTGCAGGAAGTAAGGCCTCATTAACATATACTTTATTTATATAATATATAATTAGATTATTGTTGAAATGTCTTTGATTTCATGCAATTAAAAATTCAGTATTGAGTAGTAAAAATGAAGTTTTTAGATCGTAGAGGCTCAGGGTTTGAGGAGGCAAAAAAGTATGAAGTTGTTTTTATTTTCTGTTTCTTCATCAGCAGATAATGATTAAAATATTAATTTGGCTTATGTCATGCAACCCCTGTAAGCCATTTATAAACTGTAATTCTCCATCTACGATTTGGTGTTGCAGTGGTTTCCTTTGGTTTTATGTGTTGTTATTCTGGAGAGTTGTTATTTCTGTGGCTTTCTAAACTTTTTTTCTGTTCATAAATCTTTCAACCTGCTTTTAAATGGCTGTCTTCCATAATACTTAAATCGCATAAAAGTTTAATGCTATTTACTTTAAATACTAGGTCCAGATGGGGTCTTTCCACCAGTGGTGTCAGCTATTGATGCAACATCTATCCAAGCTGTGTGGACAGCACCAGGCAGAAACAATGCTCCAGGGCAGCCTACGTATCAGCTGCTATTCAGGCCTACACAACAACCAGGCCTACAAGAAGAGTAAGTAACCATTCCTAACATTTTTTAATCAATTATTTTCTAAACACTACGGATAGATCTATAATAAGATAATTTAACTAATTACAGTATTTTTTTTTTTCAGATTAAAAATTAATGTATTAGCTTGTCATCCCAATACAGTAGAAAACCTCAATTACGAACCCCGATTTAACGAATTCCCAATATTACGAACGTACAATCAATGTGATGACGTCTTAAAAAAAAAAAAAATCTGCTCGAATTGTAACTGTTATTAGCATGCATACAACACAACATAGCATACTATACTATGTAATTCTCAATTGAAGGAGGCCCTTTAATGGGCCTCTTCAAATTTAGTGTTTATTATGGCTTCATGTGCATGCGACAAATTTTAGTTCTCTTTTAGTCATCGTTTTCAGCTTTAAAAGTCAACTTAGTGATTGATTTGTTTTATTGAATGATCAATATATATAATAAACAAGTATCTATGGAAGTTGTGTTTGAGTAAAATCCACAATCTATGTATTTAAGAAGGTAAAAACATCCGATTAAAAACAAATTTGTGTGGGCCTAGAGTGGGATCAGAATGCTTAGAAACTGTCTACTGTAGGTCTAGGCCTCCTCAGACTTAGCCCTGTGGGCCTAGTTTATGCCAGTGTAAGTAGTAGTACCAGTGCAAATATATAGGAATTTGGGTCAACCCCGATTTTACGAATACCCGCAATTACGAACGGCTCTGGGCCTGTGCCGTACGTAATTGAGGGGGTTCTACTGTACTTTCATCATCTGACAACAGCTTGCTTTGTCACATGGCCAAAGAGTATGATTGTTGTAACTGTTTCTATTTTTAGATTGTTTGCAAGTGCAACAAGTGTCGACAGCTTCACCAAGTACTCATTAACACCTTACACCGAGTATGACTTCAAGTTGATTGCAAGTAATGGATTTGGTCAGACTGAGAGTGACTGGACATCCACATTTACTAAGGAAGCTAGTATGTGTTGCTTTTTATCATAATTCATGGAATTACAGTAATTTTGTCTACTTTGTAGTTTAGAGGCAATGTTAAACATATTTATTAACATGTGAATTACATCCTTTGGGTTTGTAGACCAATAAAAGTTGTATACAGCCCTTCTTATTCTTTTATCTGCTAGTGTTCTTCCTATTTTTTTTATCAATTCTGTTGTCCATAAATTAGCATCATTTCAATTAATTTAAAAGAAATTATGCATTTTCGTTTTTTTATACTTTCAAATTAAGTTGTGGTACATTGTTTAATACAGTACATCTATTATGTGATAAAATTATTATCTGCATTCATCTCTTTGTAAATTGATTTACTTAGGTCAAAGTTAGATATAGCCCTTATGTTTTCATTTTCTATCTCCTGCTTTTCTTAACCATTTAAAAAAATTTGTGATGTTGCTTATTACCCACAAATTAGTATCATTTAATCAATTTATTATTAATTATGTGGTTTAGGTTTTAGGATTTTTCATTATTGAACACAAATTAATAATTGTGGTACATTATTAAATTATTATCATTATTCATCTTTTCCTAGCTCCTGGACCCATTGATCCACCCATGGCAACTGTCATTGATGGCACAACTCTACAAGTCACATGGGAGCTAGCTGACCAACCAAACGGCATTATCACCCATACTAGGATTCACCAGAATAATCAGTACAGAGATATGGTAAACAAGGCTAATTTGAATAAAAAACATTAGTAGTAGTATATACCACAGGTATATACAACCTCAGAAACCTTGTCCTTTTTTTTTTCAAAATATAGTAATATTATAGTCACCTAGTGGCCTGAATACATTACTGGTATCAAACTGTAATTCTCCATCTTTGATAAATATCTGGAAAAAACATATTTATGAGAAAATTTGAGTACTGCATTGGGGAAGACCATTATCGACTACTAGGGCAGTTTATCAGAGTTAGCACAGTATCGGAATCACTGTTTCAATTCACTCACATTTTTTTGCTCTGCACTATTAACATGTATGTGTGGCATTGATTTTAACAGGTGGATGGAACCATAACTGAATACCTAGCAACAGATTTGACAGCCTTTACTGACTATGTCTTCAAAATTGATATGTGTAATAGTGCGGGTTGTACTTCTAGTCCTAACTCAATCACCTACACCACACCTGCAGCAGGTAAGTTATCTTTAAACTACCCACTTAGGAGACATGTAGAATACCATCAATATATAATAAATGACAGCAGCACTTTTGAGACTAACAATATAGAATTTATTCTCTAGCTTTCGTCCACAAAGTGGACTTCATCAGGAGACCTGACGCTGTCATTTATTTCACATAATCCTTACTAAGTATTTTTTAAAGTATTCCCACAATCTATTTTAAACAAATTTAAAAAATTTTTTTTTTATTGTGTTTTTATTATGTTTCCATAATTTTATTTCATTTATTTAGTACAAAGAACAATTAAACTGACAATCACAAAATAACAGAGAGAGGGAAAAACACTCAATTGGTCGGACATGATGGCAAAAAATTAAGTAAATCTTTCTCTAGTGGCTCACCGATGCCAATAAAAACATAAATTATTATTGTTAAATTTTATTAGTAACAATATCATTATTGTTACTTCTAACAGTACTTATTTTAATCATTATTGTTATAATTATTGTTTCCAGCACCAAGTGGTCAACTCCCGCCTACACTCCTCTCGGAAACACCAACATCCATCGTGATCATGTGGGAAGAACCTTCCAATCCCAATGGCGTTTTAACCAGTTACATTCTTGAGCGACGTCATCAAGGCTTCGCTGCCATAACTACAGTGGTATCAGTTGACCGAGATGGACCGTTTACTTACGTGGACCAATCAGCCGCTATCAGTCCATTTACAACCTATGAGTACAGAGTAATGGTATCAAATGTGGCCGGTAGTACTACAAGTCAGTGGTCGGTTGTCACCACAAGAGCTGCCCGTAAGTAATAAGCAATTTGTCCTTAGTAATCTTTTAATTCATGACAAATTAGTTTTCGGCCTCTGTCTGGCATTACTACCATTCCTTAGAGTATTTGTGACAAAGACAAGCCAAACTAATCACTCCTTGCAAATCATGTTTCAGTGATATTGGTCAGAACTTGCTGGAATGTCAACATTTTGTAAATCTATTTTGTTACACTAAACTAACCTTTATATATCTATACATTATACTATGTTGTTATTTTTCCAATTTTCAATGTTAAAACAACAATTTTTAAAGATTTGGTAATGGTTTCTGCCTGAGAAATGCCAGAATTCGTAAACTTTGAAGGCTGATTTCTCAAATTTTGTAATTTAAAAAGCTGTATGTTTGAACTCCTGTAACTTCATAACAAAATGTCAGATTTAAATTTTTCTTTTTCCACTTTATAGCTCTCATTTTACTGTTTAACCCTGTATTAATAACTAAATTTCATTTTTTTGCGAGGAGTGACTGGTTTGGCTTGTCTTTGCCATATTTGTGTGAAAATATTTCCTTGTTTTATCATTAGGTATAATAATCTTGCCAATTATTACTATAACTTTTCTATGTTGGCTTCTAACTTTAGTGGATCCTAGTTAAGGGGAGATTTCCATAAAAAAATATTATTACTGATTGATTAACTGCTTATTAATTAATGAATTTCAGCACCTGGAGGTGTAGCAGCTCCATTACTCACCGTGACAGGACCAGAAACCATCCTTGTGTCCTGGTCACCTCCAGTCCAAAGCAACGGTGACATCATCAGCTATACAATCAAGATGCCTAACCCACGTGTACCTGTTCTATACGTGAACGTCACATCTTACGAAGTTGCTAATCTTGTGCCATACACTGAATACTCGGGTAAGTTACCAGTTTACGAGGGAAACTTGCTTAAAAATTAAGCTTCATAAATTTTGATTTTTAACATTGAAGCCTTTTGAAGCATTTATATCTTTCCAAAAGTCCTCCTGTTCTGTTTGTGGTGAGCTGGCCTAGCCCTAAGTTTAATCATCACTTGAAATGTCCTATGTGCCGATCTTGTGACCAGAGGTCACCTTGTTTTGGCCTGACGCTAAGTTTGCTGCGGCCTCCGCATAGGTGTCTTCGGTCGCGTTGGACACACACAGCTAAGCTTCAGCTGGGTTGGCGCCTTTGGATGCCTTTGTGCCTCCTTTGCTACCGTCTCCTTAACGGTAGTATATCATTATTTGTGGGCATATCCAGTGTTTTGTTTTCAGTGAGTGATCAATGTAGGAAAAATACACAAATATATAAATTTACTGAATGTTTATTTACAGTAACCATCGAGGCCTGTACTGTTGGTGGGTGCAGTGAAAGCAATCCCACAAGAGCTCGGACAGACCCAACATTCCCCCAGGGGCAAGACCCTCCAACAACCACACCCATAACACAGAATTACATCTCCATCATCTGGGATCCTCCTAGCAGGCCTAATGGCCCCAACATCAGATATGAACTTGCAAGAATGAAGATACGAGAACCACTGGCTACTGGTATGCTATTCTTACTATGTACTGTATATGCAAAATATATATAAAAATAATTTAACTAATTTAATAATTTTGTTCGTATTTTTACATTTGTCTTAGGTACGGTCACAGGCATTGGTTTCTGGGAGCTTATAACCAGCACCACCGACACCGCATTCCAAAACACGGGTCTTCCGACCTTCTCCACCTACCAGTACAGAGTCACTGTCTACAATGACTTTGGCTCTATGATTAGCGACCCCTCCCCGGAGGTGACCACGTTGGCAGGGGTCCCACAAACTGGAGGGACCATTGTAGCTCAAGCTATTGATCATATTAGTGTACTGGTGAACTGGACAACTCCCTGTAAGTACAATCTCTTAAAATTTAAAATATGAAAAATATGACACCTACAGAATTGTAATGTGTACATGAAAGCCTGTGTCAATAAATATCTAGAACAGTCTTTGCATAATATTTATTAACATATTCAAGATCACCATATTATTTTAACAAAACGTTCAATCTGTTTTAATATCCTGTTGTTTTTATATGTTAGTTTTTTAATTTACCAGAAACAGTACAAGCCTCATTAATTTTACACAAGCCTTTACATATAGTTATTAAGATTATTATCTTCCTCTCCAATAGCATTACAACAGCTGCAAGGGGACGTTGTAGAGAACTATGTGGTGTTTAACACCGCAAGTAGTGTTGAACAGAGTAGAAGCTTTCCTCCTGGCATTGACGGTGCAGTGATTGGCGGACTTCAACCAAACTCATACTATGAATTTAGAATAGTCATTTACAATGGGGCTTATAATGTTAGCAGTGACCCTGCTACGGCAGAAACGCTGGATGGAGGTAAAGTGGTGGTGGTCTGAGTAACTATACATTTTTTATGTGAAAAAATTCACTAAGTATGTGTTGCATAGACATTTGTTTCAGTGGACAGGGTAAATATGTGAAGCCCATAGATGCCTTGCTTAACATGATAACAACTGAAATATTATATGTTGACACAACCTCTAATGGATAGAGGTAAGGTGGTGGTCGCTATACATTTTTTGTGTGAAAACCTAAAATGTCCACACTGATTTTGTGTTTCATAGACATTTGATTCAGTAGACAGGGTAAACACTCGAAGTACATAGACCTTGCTTGGCACAATAACAAGTGGAATATTATTATATACATTGAGGCATCCTCTAATTGGCCATTGTGTTCTTTTAATGTCAATCCTTTTACAGATGAAAACGTTATAAAGAGGCCAATGACTAATCTCGTATTATGAATAATAATCTTCAAACAATAAATAATTCAATATTTATAATTATTCCGTATTTACCTTTGATTTCAGCTCCTGAAGGATTCAACGTTCCCACTATTCATGTGATCAGCTCAACATCGCTAAGAGTAATCTGGATCGAACCTACGACTCCTAATGGAGATATTCAAAGCTATAATGTATACTTAGACAATCAGAATGTTGCAACACTGCCCTCTACCACCATGTCACATGTCTTGTTTGACTTGGAGCCATACACAGTTTATTCAATTCAGGTAAAGCATTGTAAATCTATTGATATAAGAAATATATAAGAAAGTGTGTAATTTAATGGATAGTACATAAACATTTATTTATTTAAAATGATTTTTTGTTTTTTTTGTTTTGGAAGACTTGATAAAAACAAGTAAAAATACACATCATCTAAATAAAAATATGAGAGCATCCAGACTTACAACACAGATTAGGATACTCATCAATCTAAAAACATTGGGTATTTTCATTTGGGTACAAATATCACTCCTTAAGAAGAAACAACTTAAAGAATGTTATTTATTTTGTTTGTTATTCACACATAGGTTGAGGTCTGCACCGTCTATGACTGTCTGCTGAGCCCAGCTGCACAGACGACCACCACTGAAGCTCTACCCATGGGCTTAGCACCTCCAAACTTACGTGTACTTGGTGATGAAACTATAGACATTAACTGGGCTGCTCCAAGTCAACCCAATGGAATTATTACTAAATATGCCCTCTTTAGACGAGCTTTGAGACCATGTGATACGTAAGTTATTCCATATTTTCGTAACATTTATTTTGAATTGAAATCAAAACATTTGTTTCTGTACGTTTTAAATGGAAACTACATTATTTATTTAATAAGTGGTAATTGTATTTGTGTCTTAAGTAGTAACATATGTTTCCTCAGTGGTTTTTATAAAGTAGCGACATTGGTGTTTAGTATGAAGTAATAGATAACTGAAATTGAGACAAATAATTGATTTAATTAAGAATATTGTTCTATTTTTTTTACATGCAGTGGTGAAGAAGTAGCTGAGAAGACATGTCAATACATTGAATGTGGTGTGTCCGAAAGTATTTGTGGATCTCAGTGCTACTCTGGCAACAAGGTTTGAACTTTGACACTCTCAGTGTCATATAATAGCTTACCATAATCCTTTTATGTACAAAATTGCCTTTGTGTATGTGCAGTCATAATAGATGTAATAATGTCATGGCATAGTCTTATTTTCTGCATGCATACCTGGATAAACCAACTTGTGCCAATCTTTTCAAAGAAAATCCTCCCCCCCCCACAAAAAAAAAGTAAATTCCTGTTACTTCACATATAAATTTCTACAAAAACCATACATCTCTTCTCATTCTCTTTTTATTTAATTATGGGATACATAATAACAGCATTATATTTAACACTTGATTAATAAGAGTACCATTTCACATGTGCAAAGTAATCTGATTCATTATGTTTGAGGGCTTCATGAAATATTAAATAGTTTGTGTTGAATTATTAATAATTATTAATATTTTATTTAATTGAATATATTTTACTTCTTCAAGGTGTGTTGTAATGGTGAACTATATGACTTCCAAATTGGTTTCGAGTGCTGTGACAGCAACTACTTAGCAGCCAGGACCAATCCAACAGACGTCTGCTGTGGCGGTCAGTTCCGAACTGCTCAGTCCAATTACCAGTGTTGTAATGGCCAGTATGTGGCCGTACTGCCTGGTCAGATCTGCTGCGCTGACCCTGATGAGGATAGGATTGAGATAGGATCTGGAGATGCTTGCTGTGGGGGCATTCCATATGCCGCGAATGGACCTCAAATCTGTTGTGGAGGTAGAATCACTTTATCGGCATTATATATTGTTTTAATTGTTCTGTTGCTGTACATTTACTTATCTTATATTTATTGTTGCTGTATATGAACAGATTATATTGTGATTATATTGTGTTTATATTATATTTCTCTGAAATTTTATTTTGTGTAGTAAGCTATATGTCACACAGCAGTTATTATTTATTATTTATATTAAAATATTGAGTTCACTTTGTCTTAAATATATACAGTTGATCTTGCCTAAGTCGAATCCAAAATGGCATTGAAAAATTGTTCGACTTAGATAAAATTTAAATTACAAATCATTAATTAATGGAAAACAAAACAATTTGGCATGTAAAATAAGGTCCAAATAGAAATTATTCAAGTTAGGCAAAGTCAACTAAAATGCTAAAATATAAAAAAAGACACCCTTTATAGTCTAAAGTCAAAATTGATATTTGTGCCTGAGATTTTGATAAACTGATTTGCGATTGTGGTTGATTTTCAGGCGCATTTTTTGATAGTCAGCGGGGTCTATGCTGTGATGCAACATATGTGTCTTTTGAGGGTAACTGTGCGCTTTGTTGTGTTTTGTGTTTGCTTGCGTGTATTTTGTGTAACCCTCTCAGAAATTACCTAACAATTTGGCTCTCTCACAAGTATACAGGCCATAAACAGTCTGTGAATTAGTTCATGAAGGGTCAGTATTTCTATATAGGCCATACATCTCATCATAGTTATTCACAATATCCTCAGAAGGATGAATTGAGAGAGCCATCAACTAGTCTAATATAAGTAAACAAAGTCTTGTTATGTTCATTTCATCTGCAACTAACTATATTATCACAATATATGATTCCTTTTTTATATGTTGGTGATAATATGATTATTACCTGGTAACGAACTTGAATGAGCTTATGTTTTGTTTATAACGGTTTTTAAGTTATAAGAGTTTTTCATTAATAATTATGTCAATTTTGCCATGGTGTAAATTGCTTGTTTCATTAACTGTAGAAACTCTCAATCATTTGCATGCTTGAAACTAGTTGTAGGGTTATGTCATTTCCTGTCTCTTAAAGGTCAAACTGATAACATTTAACCCTCTGTATTGAGCATGCAGACAAGAAATCTGTGTTATCCTTGTAGTTGACTTCATTGCAGTGAATATATTTTGATTAACACTTATGTGTCACAAAGTTTAGATATATTATTAGGATATTACACTTTGTGGCTTTTAAGATAAAATCTTGTAGAGCATGCAGACAAGAAATCTCTGTTATCCTTGTAGTTGACTTCATTGCTATAAATATATTTGATTAACACTTATATATTACAAAGTTTAATATATATTATTAGGATATTACACTTTTGCGATAAAATCTTGTAGAGCTTATGAAATCATTTTCAGCTTGTTAATACTTTTAACATTTAAATATGCCTTACATTCACCTAATTTCATTAATACCATATTCAATCTCATTTTTTTATGTGATTTATAAAAATACTAATGCATGTTTTCAGCTAACATTCACTATAAAACTAACAGCTTCTTTGATTTTTGTTTTATTTAATTATTTTAATCATATTTTGGGGTCCTTGTTCTAACAGGGACATTCTATGATGGATTCAATGCTCACTGTTGTGGGTCATCCATCATCAGTGTGAACCAGGTGTGCTGTGGATCTGGCAACAGTGTCCGTACATACACTCTTGACCCTTCGAAGGTCTGCTGTAACAACGTTTATGAGAATCCAGACAAGATGCTCTGTTGTACTAATAGCGAAGGTCAACAAAAGGTCAGTATAAGACCAGGGAGATGTAAACAATTTTTGACATCGCCCTGATAAGATTTTGATTATCATATGGTATGATTTGTGTACTACAGTATCTCATTCACTGTTAGGTTCCCTCCAGGCTGTGTCATGTGTACAACTGCATGCCACCTGTAACACATGTACAGGTGCATGCTACTTGTGTAACTGCATGCCACCTATAGCACATGTACAGGTGCATGCTACTTGTGTAACTGCATGCCACCTGTAGCACATGTACAGGTGCATGCTACTTGTGTAACATGCACAATATACAGATTGTGCTATGAGTTTATCATACACAGTTACATGCCACCTGTACCACACAGGCAGGTGCAGGCTACTTGAGTCAAATGTGGAAACAGGGTTTTAGCCAGAAAAACAATATAGGCCATCTAAAATGGAGCCAATGGGCGTGGCACTGAGCCGATGGGCGGGCCACGCCCACTTGGGGCTACACCCATGGGAATCCCCACTGAATATTGGTACAAAAACAACGTACATTCAATCAATAAATGTTGTTTTTATCAAATGTAAATATGATTTAGCTTTAGTTTAATGTAACAATCGATAGATTTGAAGAATATAAAGAATTTGCTAAAGGTAGACCACGCCCAATTAGGCTAGACTGAGCTGATTAGGCCAAGCCGTCCAAGTCGTCACGGTAAAAGTGACCATCCTAAATAATTGTAGGCCGTCCAAAAGACGGCACTGACGGATTGTTGGCTAAGCCTATGTGTGGAATGTACAGCTGTGTGCCACCTGTGTATCATACAATGAAACCTGTGCCACATGTGCAGGTGCATGCCAAATGTATTCCATAATTACCACCTGTTATGTTGTAGTGTGACAATTAATTTATTTATTTACACTAGGCACATGTTTATGCAAATTCTAATGAAAAACTATCAGCCAATGATCAGTGCTGTAACTTGGAGACAATTCCTAACACACATTCATGCTGCAACGGGATTGGCTACAATCAAGCAACACACATTTGTGCTGATCGTAGCACCACAGCAAGAGGAAACTGTGCATCTGGAACCATCTGTCCTGTCAGCCAGGCTTTCTCTGCTTACTGTAATAGGTAAACTATTTTGTTAGTTATTAATTAGATAATTCATTAATGCTAGGATTTAATTGTGATAAAATCTGGGAAGGAACAGAAACAAAAATTGAATTGCTCATAAAAGCATCAAATAATTTTTAAATGACACTACGATATACAAATTTTCTTTAATACATAAATATTTCTTTTGTCTGTCAAAATCTCACCCTCCTTGGATTTATTTTAACTCAATTTTAAAAACTCATCTATTTCAATCCATCTAGCTTACTCTGTTCCCACGTTCATATCTACATTGTCTTTTTACGTTTCTATTTATTACTCTACTACTTTATTCAATTCATGCTCTATGTATATTTTCATGCTTCTGATCATTTATTTTGAAATTGGAGCATAATAAATGTTTGTTTATTATTATATTAAGATAAGATAAGATAACTTTATTTTCCCACTAACGGAATCTCTGCTGGTCATTACAAAGACAAAATATATATAAAAGTATCCATGAAAAACAGTCATCAAAAGATATAAACAAAAGTACAGTACAAGTGTATACAAGTATTAGTGTTTGTTATTATTATTATCACAAAGATGGTATCTTTATACAATTTTAAGTAGCTTAGTGTGACCTTGTAATTATGAAATGTCTGTTTCTTTATAGATGTGATTTTGACACCAACCTGAAGGTATGTGGTACTGTAGATGAGCAGTTTTTAGACGCTATCATCTTGCCAATTCCAGGCGCTGTCTGTCCATCGACCCTTGACACAATCTATGAAGGGGGACCAAACACTTACACTTTCTTGGGTAAGGTTACTTAAATATGTGGCAAGACTCTGTATATAAAAATGGTTTATTATAAATAAAAACAAGTAATTGGATGAATTATTTTATAGTTTATATATTATTATTATATAATATTACATAATGATATATACTGTATAATGGATGTATATATGATTTTATATTGACAATTATGTGATATAATATATAATTATACTATATATTAATATATAATGGTTTTATATAACAATGTTAAAAATATATTATAGGCCTACTGCAATATAGTGATATGTAATTTTTTTATATACAGGTAATGGTAAATAATGATAATTATATGATGATATATAGTTATATGATATATTATTTATTCAATTCAAAAAGTATAATAAAGAAAATCTATATTATGTGTGTATATACAATGATTTTATTGAAGTTAAAACCCTCTTGCCACAATCTTCACAAAATGCTTAAAAAAAATAGATTTAGATTTAAAAAACAATGATGTTTTTTTTTTCAGATCAAGAGTTGTCACCATACACCACCTACCAATACTCCATCGCTGTATACAATAGTGCAGGCAGCTTCACTAGTGACTATGGCAATGCCACCACTGAGGAAGCTATTCCAAGTGGTGTTCAGCCACCCTCTGCTACCATCCTCCTAGGAATATTGGATACTATTGTACTCAACTGGAATGAACCTCTTTATCCTAATGGTAATTGAATTCACCTTTTTTCCATAGTTCATACATTTAAGCGCTGTGAGACTCCGGTAAAGAGCGCTATATAAATGCTAAAATATTATTATTAATATTATTATTATTGTTATTATTATTATTATTATTAGTATTATTATTATTGTTATTATTTCATGTTGTGGTATTTCAAAAATATGCCATCTGTAAATTTTATTTTTGTTTTCCTTTTTTTTCAAATCAGATTCAGATATATTTATTCAGATAATAATGAATAACGAAAACAAATATTGGTAATGACAGTGATGAGTAAAAAAATAGATCAAATCATTATTATCTTGGATCCCTTCTAGGAAGTAAAAAAGCTTGTCTCAGAGGGACACCTAAATACAAACATTGAAAAATATAGGGGATGTTGATAACAATAATTTACACATTTCTTTTATCAGAACTAAACTATTGGAAGACTTATTATTAAAACAAATAATAAATACAATACGTTTATCAATAATTACAGTAATACTATATGTTAGTTTTATTCTACAATTTTACAAAAATTTTACAACCACAAGCAGATCTCTACTTCAGAAGCATTATTTTCCAGATTTGGTAACCTTTCAATTTGCAAGAATTAAGATTGTTTAGCTAATGGATCATCCCAACATTTTGTATTTTTTTCTCATAGGCATTATCACATCGTATATTATCAGACGAGATGGGATTGAGATCTATCGTGGAATTGGCAATTCATTCTCGGATCGCAATGGTATTCAACCATACCAACACTATAATTATATTCTTAGTGCGTGTACACGCGTGGGATGTGCAGACAGTATAAGTGTAAGTTCCACGTCTATTTTGCCTCTTGCCAATAAAATCGAAATTTTTCTACAATTATAACAATTTAAATATTTTATTTTAAAATCAAAATGTTTCTACAATTATAACAATTTAATTATTTTATATGGTTTAAAAAATGGTTTATTATGAATAAAAACAAGTAATTGGATGAATTATTTTATAGTTTATATATTAATATTATATAATATTACATAATGATATATACTGTATAATGGATGTATATATGATTTTCTATTGACAATTATGTGATATAATATATAATTATACTATATATTAATATATAATGGTTTTATATAACAATGGTAAAAATATATTATAGGCCTACTATTATATGATGATATATAGTTATATGATATATTATTTATTCAATTCAAAAAACAAAGTATAATAAAGAAAATCCATATTATGTGCATACAGGTGGTCGCTGCTACTTTGCAAGCCAAACCAGAAGGTGTTTCTAACCCCATTGTTACCCCAGTGAGTGACACCTCCATGAGGGTGACATGGGTTGAACCTACCAGTCCCAATGGTGTCTTGCAAGACTATAAGATCTACCTGACTGGAGTTGAGCTACCAATTTACGTTACAGCTCCAAATAGATTTGAATATATGCATCGAGGTATGGCATTGAATTAATATATATATATATCTGTCTCTTATACACATCTAGATGTGTATAAGATTTGTAATGTATTTATTTAATACCAAATTAATATTAATATATCCTCAAAAATTACCATTTTACAACTTTTAGAGTAAACAAAAAAAAGGAATTATTTTAGAACTTTGTTTCCAGGATATGACTCTTCCAAATAATTTATTTTTTCTTGAAAGTGATGATTTAATTTATTTTATTTTATTTATTTATTTATATACATGCTGACAAAAGTATTTATATTTCATCATTCTAGACTTGACTCCATTCACTCGTTATGAGTATACCTTGGAGGCATGCACTGAAGCTGGATGCACAGCCAGTAATCCTGTTGCTGGCATGACATTAGAGGGTGTACCAGCAGGTAAGTTGTCAGATTATAATACATAAGTATTCTAGGTAATGGAGTTTGAGTGGTGTTATCATTAAAATGCTATTTCAAGCAGGGTATTTATAAACTGTTTGTTAATGTTAAGAACTAGGATTATTGTATATAATGCTCCTAGAGGCCTTCGTTATATGCATATAAGAGCAGCATTTTTTTTTAAAAGTACTTATCTTTTTTTAAACATTCCAGGATTATCACCTCCAATACATGTGGTCATTAGTTCATCTATCCTGGAACTGTACTGGAGTGAGCCAGAATTCCCAAATGGTGACATTTCTACATACAGGCTCTACAGACAAAATCAACTGATCTATGTGGGTAATGGATCTGTGTATATGTATATTAATAGCGGGCTGTCTCCAAACACACGCTACGCGTACATCCTTCAGGCAGCCACCTCTGCAGGCTCTGTGAACAGCTCTGAGTACATTGTCCAAACACCACAAAGTACACCTGAAGGAATTCCAGCTCCTACTCTCTCTGTTGTAAGTGCAACTCAGATCCGAGCTACCTGGACCGCCCCAGTTTACCCCAATGGTAACATAGCAGCCTATGGAGTGGTTGTCATGAGTGGATCTCCTCAACAGTTCACACGGTTCTCTGGTCTGACTCAATCTTTTCTCTTGACCGGCCTTGAACCTTACACTCAGTACAATGTCCGTGTGCAGGTTTGCAATAATGGTGGATGTGGTCATGGTCCAAAGGCATATGCAAGAACATCAGAAGCAAGTCCTCAAGAACAGGATCCACCAGTGCTGAAAGCAACTGGTCCATCAGTCATTGAGGTTTCTTGGCAACCACCAGTCAAACCAAATGGCATCATCACTAGTTATGAAGTATACAGGCGTTTATATGGCAGCAGTCAAGAGGTCCTTTCTTACGTTGGTCCAGCTCTATTCTTCACCAATGCTGCACCAGAACTTGTAGCCTTCACACTGTATGAGTACAAAGTCAGAGCTCGAAATTCTCTTGGGTATATTGACAGTAACTGGGCAGCTGTGAGGACTTTAGAAGCTGCACCAGAAGGTGTTCCAGAGCCTTTAGGATTGGAAGCTGTCAGTCCATATGGTGTCAGAGTGCAGTGGAATGAACCAACAACACCTAATGGGGTCATCACAACTTACAGAATTGAGTACCGTCAAGTATCGATTGATCCCACTTTGACAAACCCAGTTGAGAGTGCCGCCACAGTGGCAGGTATAATACGAGAAGCTACCTTCTATGGCCTGGTTCCTTATACTTCTTACCAAGTGCGTATAGTAGCAATAAATAGTGCTGGAGAAGGCAGTGGATCTTGGGGTGATGTCACCACTGCAGAGGGAGTCCCAGCTAATATTCAACCATTTGTTGTCCAGACAAGTAGTGATGGCCTGTCTTTGATACTTCGCTGGAATGAACCTGGACAAGTCAATGGAAAAATTCTTTCTTATAATATATATCAAGATATATACTTAACAGAAGCAATATACACAGGACTACAGAGAGAGTTTGTCTTCCGTCGATTAATGCCTTATACTGAATACACCTTGATTTTAGAAGCTTGTACAGGTGCAGGCTGTGGAAGAGGACAACCTCAGACAGTAGTGACCGCAGCAGTATTACCGGAGAATCAAGGTGCTCCAACAATTGAATTTGTCAATGCTACACAGGTGACATTATCTTGGGTGCCACCAATATCTGCCAATGGACCCATCACAAGGTATGACATTCTCAGGCGTTCTTCATCTACAAGTCAGCGGAGAAAGCGAGATACTGATGACAGCACATTTACTCAGACAAATATTGTTTATGTTGAGTACAACACCGACTATGATTACTACACCTTCACAGACTCTCAACTCCGGCCCTATACAGTATATGAGTATAAGATCGTAACTTTCAACACAATTGGGTCAACGGATAGTGGATGGGTCTCAGTCCAGACTGAACAAGCAGCACCTACTAGTGTAGATCCACCTTCTGTCAATTTTATCTTGGACAATCCGACCACTCTAATTGTGCAATGGACAGAACCAGATGAACCAAATGGTGTTATACAGGTGTATGTTCTTGAAAGGAATGGAACTTCACCTTTCACATTCCCTGCTGATTTTCCAAATACTTTTAATGACACTGAACTTGAGGCCTATACTGTTTACTACTACACAATAAAGGCCTGCACTGCCTGCTGTTGTACCACCAGTGACAAAACTTTTATCAGGACTTTAGAAGCAGCACCAGTGTTTGTAGACCCACCAGTACCTGTTGCCATTAGTTCCTCTGCCATACAGGTCTCTTGGAATGTTCCATCACTTCGATATGGAGAGATAATTCGATATGAGCTAAAGGTGGATGGACAAGAACAATATAGAGGGTTAGATTTGCAGACTGTAATCAATTCATTGATTCCTTTCAAAGAATACACATTCACTGTTGTGGCATGTACCTCAGGAGGCTGTACTGAAAGTGTGCCATCATATGCCAGACCATTTGGAGCACCTCCTCAGCAAATGAATTCTCCCTCTCTGAAGGTGCTCAGTGCCACAGCTGTTGAGGCCTCATGGACTGATCCATTATATCCAAATGGGGAAATCAGCAATTACGAATTGCGCAGGGATGGACGCCTAATTTACAGTGGATTATCTCAGTTATTCTCAGACTTTGGCGATGGTGGCCGAGGACTTACTCCAGGCCAGGAATATTCATATGTGGTAGCAGCTTTCAACAAAAATGGCACTGCTGTCAGTGATCCAGCAACAATCACAACTTCATCATCATCTCCAGCTGGACTGAGTCCTCCAAGTTTGACTGCATTGAGCTCTACATCAATCAGTGCAACATGGGTACCTCCACTTTATCCAAATGGAGATATACTGAACTATACTCTCTATTTAGATGGTTCACCAACATTTTCTGGTGTCCAGTTCAGTCATGTTGTCAGGAACCTCTTCTACTTTACTCTTTATGAGTTCCGTATCGAAGCTTGTACAGAATCTGGATGTGCTCTTAGTGAGAGAGCTACCACTCGCACTCTTGAACATCCTCCATCCAGCCAGCTAGCTCCAAGTTTGACACCTCTAGCAGATTCACTTGGTATTGCCAGTGGGATATCAGTAGAATGGGGCCCTCCGCAGCAGCCCAATGGTATAATTCTCTATTACCAACTGCAGAGGCGCCAAGTTTTCAGAATAAGTGGAGGACGAGGAGAGACATTTTTGTTGCAGAATGGTACGTCGCTGTCATACATTGACGAAGATCCAACCTTGGAACCTAACATGGAATATGAATACAGAGTGACATCTTTCAATACTGCAGGACAAGCAACCAGCTCTTGGGCAACAGTGAGGATGCTGGAAGCACCTCCAGAGGTAAGAAATCATCAGTATTTATGTTTATAAAATTAGTATAACACTGTTCTATCAAATAAAATATGGTAGAAGTAAATAATAATCATTGATTTTTTATTCTGTAGGGGTTAGAGCCACCACAGTTCTCACTTATTACATCCACATCTGTACTGGTTAACATCCAGGAGCCTGCAAAGCCCAATGGAATCATCACAAGTTATGCTATCATGAGGAACTCAACTGAAGTAAGTTACTGATTTTCTTACATAAGTGTATAATATCTATGCAGCTATAAGATGCATCCACAAGTGGAAGTGAAATATTGTCTGGTTGTTCCTTAAACTAGAATGTCCTAGAGCACCATATCAACATCCATGTGTGTAGCTTTATTCCTTTTTCTCACAACAATGAATCTCCAATGATAGAAATATATATTAGGTGTTACTGTTTAGCATTAGTTATTCTCGGCACTTTTTGCATCATTCAACCCAATAATGTTGTCTGTTTTAAAATTTATTGAATTAATTTCATTGAAGTTGTCAAGAACTACTGCATCAAGCTACTCTGATGAAGGCCTACAACCTTTCACCTACTATGCATACAGTGTGAAGGCCTGTACATCAAGGGGATGTACCACAAGTGAGCCTGGTTATGTTCAGACCTTGCAGTCGGTACCTATAGGCCTAGCGTCACCTATCATTGTACAGGAAGGTGTTGACTTCATTGAGGTATCATGGCAAGGCCCAGAGGAGACCAATGGAATCATAGAGAAGTATGAAATTTTATGAATACCTGACCTAATTTTGTGAATAAAGTTCTTACCTGGATGAGCTGAAATATGTCAGTTTCCTTTTAGGAACTTACCTCAAATATAATGGAATATTTCAACCAAGACTACTCATATTTATGTAACTTGATGTATTGTTCTGTTCAGTGAATATTCATGACTTTAAATATAATTTAATAATTTCTTTATTGTAGATACGAGTTATATTCTCGACCAGCTTGCCCTTTGACCAGTCAGCCATTCCCTCAACGATGCACTGAAGTCAGTTTCAGTAAAGCATACCAAGGATTGAGTACCAACTTTACTTTAAGAAATCTGAAACCGTATACCAGTTATGAATTCCAAGCATCTGCATACAACTCAGAAGGCAGGGCTGAGTCACCGGCAGCACTAGGAACAACCCTTCCAGATGGTAAGATATCATGATCAGTGTTGACAGCGGTATAAACCCCTATCCAGACTATTAGAATATTGTTTGACAAAATCATGTGACTAAATATGGTCATGATAACATCACATCATGACCATATATAGGCACATCATATCTATGTATGGGCATGCAACAATTTTTAAGCTTTGTCCACACTTTCAAGTTTATGTGACAAATATGTGTGATTTGCCCATATATGGGCATGATGATGTCATATCATGTCCATATATGGCCATATCATAAATATTAGTCATATGAAACGTAATAGCGTGGACAGAGTTTTGATGTATTTGACGTAAATTCATAATCATTATAATTATCACTGTATATAATTGAAACTTAGAATCAGTAGCTGCAGTGGGAAGGTTTGTTTAAACAGTTCTAAAATCAGAATAATGTACAACATAAATATTTGAGTTACTTACTTCCCTTTAATGCCATCTTGGAAACTGTAATTGATTGTACAGTAATTCCAGGTAAATAGTACATGTAAAATAATATTCCAACAATAAAAGCTGCACAAAGCTAAAAGTATGATCTAAACAGTAGACAGTATTATACAGTGAACTGAACTGGTGACAAATAATGGTGTTCTCTAATTGACTGCTAGACTGCTACTGAGCAGAACAAAAGAAATTCAAGTCAATTATGGAACCACCTGAACTAAATAATATGCAACTGACCTTCTTCTTCAAAACAAACTTAGTAAATTATAGTAAACAGCACTGAGGATATCTGCAGTTTAACTGTATTATACTGATTGTTTTTGATGTAATCAAATGTTTTATTTTAATTTTTTACAGTGCCTTTACTCATATCAGAGCCAAACATTTACACCAATGGCTCAGCCTTAGTAATTGCCTGGACCAATAGTTTCGACTTAAATAGTAAATTGATTGAGTATGTACTGACAGAAAATGGCGACAAAGTGTACAGCGGAATAGCATCAAGTGTTGAGCGCCCTCTGACTGGAAAACGTAAGTGCATAGTGGTTGAAGTGTGATATTTTTTGTTGTTGTTGACATTCTTGTATTTGTGTAGGTAAGTTTATAAACATCCACAATTTAACTGGGGTGACTAAGTAACAGAAGAAAAACAAAATTCATGCCTTCCCCTTACTTTTTGGCTTTTTTAAAATTAAATAATACAAGATGGAAGTGCCTTACTTGTTATTTGTTGAAGTTTGGATTAGCAACTTGTTGTGGTCCTTCTACCATGGTCAAAGATAATGTCTTAATCTATTTGTGGTGACAAAATGTTATTGTGCATATTTCATTGCTGAAATAGCGTAATATTCTTGTTCTTTGGTTTGTATAGTTTAAATTGTATTACTAACAGTGTCACCAGCATTAATCTCTTGGGCCAGTCGATTAATGGAGCGGTTAAAGCAGGGACGTTGCAACATTCAGCGATAATATCGCCGCTGGTTGGGACGGCACGATCGTCTATGGTTCTGGTGGTGGAACAAGTCTTATCGGATAATGACTATAAACCATAGGCCCAGTGTACACAATTTGGCTCATGTGCACTTTAAAGAACCTAGTACATCTTTTGAGATGAGTAGGGGGGTTACTCTGGTGTACTGGTTCATACAGACCCTGTTGTGGACAGACAAGAAATAGCTGGTACTGGTTTATCGGGTAGCTTAGACATGAAGAAACTCTTAGTTGAGAAGAAAGTTACGGTACGAGCTAGTCCACACCCGGAGCGCTTTGAGACTCGGGTATAAAGCGCTAATTTACAAATCAAACTACATTACATTGATCTTAAAGTTGTTTTGGCATATTTGTTACAGGATATGAATTTCTAGTGAAATGCAGAACTACGTCAGGAGAAGCCTCATCGCTTCCTACCATTTATGATGGCACAAACCTAAGTAAGTGCTGTGACTTGCCATATGTAGTATAATATGACATGATCATGTGCATATATGGATGTGATATGACATCATCATACCCAGGCCCATTGGCACTTAACATATTCCTGGTACTACATATTGAATAACATGTTTTGATTGTCAGTTGTGAAGTTTGATTGACACTTGGAAATTTCCATTGTATTAGCTATAGTAATGAATTGCTTTCGTATTTTTTTTACTAGATGGTAAATCAACAGGTAATTCCTCCGAGGACTGGTATTCATCAGTCTGGTTCTTATCTCTTGTCGTACTCTTCATTGTTATATTATTATTTGTCGGCATTGCTGTGTGTTTGAGCCGTATGGGAACTCGCAAGCCGTATGAACGCGAGCGTCAGCCATTACCACCACGGCAGAAACGAGGCATGCTTATACCATCCTTAAACAACTGCAACTATGCACACTCAGAAAGCATCATGGTACGTATTACCCACAATGCATAATAATAATAATGTCTGTCTTATATAGCGCTTCATGCATAAAGCCTCTAAGCTCTTCACATTACTACCCCCGTCATTGGATCAAACATGTATGGAACACTAAGCTCCCAAATTAGATTATTAAATTAAATCATTATTCCATAATATTGCAGCTAGTAATCAGCGCAGTTGTGTTTGAACCTACCAGCTACCCACTTGTACACCTGGGTGGAGATAAAGTGCCTTTCCCAAGGACACAAGCGATTTGCACAGCGAGTGTTGCCAACCGCACAGTTCAAGGAAATATAATGAAATACTATGTGTGATATCACCCATTTCCTTTTCAGTTTGGACAAGTCTGATAAAAAATGATAATTCAGGAAATTAAACTGCATATTTTGGAATATTTTAATAAATAAATTAAATTTAATTGAATGAAGTGCCTTGTCCAAGGCCACAATCGAGATACACAATGTTGAAAGTTAGTACCACAACCACTGCACCGAACTCCCTGCCCCCCCCCCCCCCATATCTTTGTTGACACTATTTAACTATATTGTAAAGCTATTATATAGTAATACAGTAACCTTTATTTTTTTACAGGATCCTATTCCTCAAAATATTAGCAGATCCGTGAGTCAACGTAGTTTAACAAACGCCAGTCTCAAGGGCTATAATAACCCAGCATTTGGTGGTATGACACCACAGCTACCACGCAGTCGTAGAGGGAGCCAGATCCTAGATGAGAAACACTCTTTCAAGTTTGATGATGAGGATGATGGAGTCTGGGACAATCAAGTTGCAGACAGTGGACTTGTAAGTTTTTCATTTTGGAAATTTTTCATTATAAATTTGTAAGGTAAATCATAGTTAAATACAATGTTATCTTGCTAGTGTAATTATAAATTGTACAGCCAAATGTGAGATATCAGTGTTAAAGTTGAGATATGAAAAATTGAATTTATTATTAGTATTATTTCTAATGCTTATTATTGTTAAATTTAATATTTATGTTAATCACAGTGATGTCTTATTTATATTTTCACAGTATGATGACGATAACATGACCCATGTCAGCCAGCCATATAGCTACACTAAAGAACAAACCATGTTTACAGACACTCATCTTTAATCTCTGATGACCTCTTAGAATACCAGGTCATTTTACAAGGTCATTTTTATAATATTAATGTTTGTGCATGTTTTTTTTAAGATTTTGAAAAAATAATGTTTGCTGTTCAGATATATAGCATGCATTTTTTGTTATTGAGCTGATTAAGGTTGTGCTGTAGTGATGATTGAAATCATATCAATAGTATTTTTTTTCCTGATTTTCTATTGGACAAATAATTTCATTTAATGATTTAATGTTTAAACAAATAATGTCTCAAATTGTTGTGTGTTAATAATTGTAAGATTGTATACGGTATTTTGTTTGTAATTGACTTTTCATATTTATGAAACAGATATGAAAGTTCAGTGGTCTAATGATTAAGACACCAGGCTAGTTATCTGTCATTCCTGATACAGGTATAAACAGCATCGGGATATGAATGTTGTTTTCAGTTGCTGTTGATAAGGATCTGACAGTGGTCATACATTTTTATTATGTCTGTTACTTTAAGGAGCTATATTAAAGTGAAATCAATCCATCCAAACCTGTAATATAAGATGTTCAACTTGAATTAATTTTTAGATATTTTTATTCTTTAATAATTATTACTATTTAATATAAAAAAAAAAGTTTTCTATCTTTCTTGATTGTGTCATTCCATATCCCATCACCTTGATGTAGATACGTACCAGATTTTTTTTTTTAAATGAATAAACAATTAAGAACAATTCAATTTTATTAGAGCTTTACGTCAGTTTTTTGTAATCAAATTTTATATTCCAAACAATTTATCTGCAATAATTTTAAATCTGTTGATTTAAAGACCGTCCAACCAATGTATTGTACTTTAAAATTACCTTGTTTTTGCAAGATTCCATCCAACAAAGTTAGTATTTGAATAGAAGTCCGTCCTCTTTGTCATTGTTACCATTTCTACTTACGAGTGAATATTCTTCAAAAATTTTACAGAAGTATTTAACACAAATTTTCATAATTAGACAGTATGTATAGCATATACATACTTATTTTCTATAATGAATATTAAATATTTACTGTAATACTAAAATCATGTTACTATTGTTAAGATTTTTCAATAAAGGACAATGGTTCTGTCTATGTACTTCATTTAATTTTTTAAGTAATTCATATTTTCATAAAATATTTTCTGAAAATATACAAATTAATATTGAATAGTACTAAAATCATGTTATGTCAATTAAAAAATTTTCAATAAAGGGCAATTGATTCTATGTACTGTACTTCATTTAATTTTCTGAGTTATTTAATTCATATTTTCTGAAAATAATACATGAATACACTATTGAATAGTACTAAAATCATGTTACTACTGTGAAATTTTCAATAAGGAATAAGGTTCTATTTATGTACCTTGTTCAATGGATTGTTATTTACAATCAATATTTTATATCATTGTCATTTTTGGCTAAACTTCTTACGTAAGAATGACTGAAGTAAAATACCACAGTAATGTGGGTTGTTTTCTTTTTGTAAATACATTTACATGTGTGTTTCTATGAGCAACTGTATAATATTTTTGAGGAGTCATAAAAATAAATATTTCTGACTGAACTGAAAGTATTTGGTTTTTGCATTTTATTATTGTAAGACATTTTAAGAGGCATAAATATTGAATAGCATGAATACAAAATGTTAAAGTAAAATATACTGCTCTAATGCAACAAAAATAGATGTAAAAAGAATGATGCAAAGTGTAGTTTCTTTATATAGGACACTCCATAGGGACGATAGCGACTGATAAATTCTGGAAAAACCCACAAGTTTTTACCAGAATATCTCTAGTACTGTCAACACTTGCTTTACTTAACAAACGTAAAAAGTGGTTTTTCCATATGTGGGCATGATTATGTCATATACCCATATATAGGTATGATGGTGTCGTAAATAGCAAATTACACAGGATTATCACAAAAAGCTTGATAATGTTAACAAATATGTATGTAATAATGACGTACATAAAGGCTATGCAGTATAATCATAAAGTTATTATTCTCCATGATGAAATGTTATGACTATCAGTCATAACTACATTTCTTTGCATGCAAAGATAAGGGGTGATATATCTGTGACGAAATTATATCACCCCTGATATTTGCATTCAAAAATTGATAAGCAAACCAACACAAAGTGCAACCTTCTTTGCTTCTGGGGAGTAAGACTAATAGCACTGCATTGCACAGGGATTATATATTCAATATCACATCCTGCCAGGTACCCATTTACACCAGCAAAAGGCTCAGTGAACCCTAGAACTCCATTTTGGTAACCCAAAACACAACCACTGCACCAGCCACTCCCATTTAATTATACAGTAGGTCCCCTATTAAGGGGACTCCTTCGGGACCAAAAAAGTGTCCCCGTAATGGTAGTGTCTCCTGAATAGGGGTTGGTTGTAGTGGTAAAAGATATACTTTCCTCGTTTTTGTGGTCGAAATAGTGTCCCCTTAATAGGGGTGGATGAATATTCAGGAGGATAATGTATGATTATCTGTATTTTAAACAAAATAGTTTATAACCAAATATGATAATGGAAAGTTGCTGAAATATACATAAACAATGAAGTACATAATCTGTGAATTTTCCATTAAGTCCTTTTCTTGAATCTGATACATAATGCAATAAGATAATATTCCTATAATCTTGTCTGTAAGATATTTTTACATTATCTTTCTTATTCTCTTCCTCTATATAAATATAACATGTCCAGATGAATTATATTAACAGTGTGTAACCCTCATATCATTTACATTCTCCTCATGTCCCCCCTCTGCTCCAAGTGGTAGATCCTCTGTGCTGCGGTTGCCAAGGTGATTACTGGAGGCTCGAAGCTGACTGGTTCTGAGTGGCATTAAGGAGGTAGCTGGACTAAGCGATGGGGTGGTGCAACGCGATGAGCTCAGATCACATTGTCCCATTAAATATACAAGCTCCTCGTGTGAGGGACCTCCTAAATTCGTAGCTATTTGAAAAAATAATTAAATTTAATAATTTCATTAAATCTGATGCATAATCAAGCAAGATAACAAACTTCAATTAAATATGGAACAACAACTAACTTACTTTTTTCAGCTTTTGAGTAGGATTCGAGAGCAGTAGTCAAATCCCAAATCTATAAAAAAAAATATGTTAAACAAAACATAAATGTCACTATACAACTTATTATCGCAGAACACAACACATTTATATGACAAAGATGTAAATTAGCCCCAGCAAAGCACAAGGTTATCAAATAATTTTATTAAAATAATTATTGTTTTTAAGTATGTCGAAGATAGCAAATTTTTGCTTACTTGAACACTGCCCTCAAACTCACCTGTACACTTCCATTTGAATGCCCTGTAAAGAGAAACCGACGAGGTCTTGAGCCCATTCTACTGGAGCCTTCGCACTCATGTACACTAAAACAACTGATAAAGCTTGTGTCCACTGAACGGATCTCACAAACTCTAATAAAGGGAAGAAAAAATATTTTTAACATCATACATATGAGAGAATTTTAAATACTAGACTTTGCAAAAATTGGAAGAATATGTACCGAAGAAATAATAAATAATATATAAAACCGTATATTTGAAATGACAGCAATGTCCCAAATAATGAGAGTTCATACTCTAGAGGGCAGCAGATGTGTGGAGTTTTTCTTTCACAACTCAAGTCAACATACCTGTGGCCAGTGGATGATAATCTAACGTAAAGCAAGTCCGTTTCTGGAACCACTTTTTGGACGAATACCTGCTGGTCCTCCCTATCTCCATAGGGACCTAATAAACAATAACCATAATTTAGGAAGATTATTAAAAATAATGCTCACATATATTACAGTACTATATTATATAGCAGTTCTCAAGTATTAAATAATGTGAAATATTAGTATAAATTTTCTGGTGAATTTCTTTACAAAAGTGGTCATCAAAGTATACTTTTTGAATGATCCTCTATATAATGAAAATGTTTCTCATCTAATTACTAGGTAGACACCACATCTTAACATAGCAGATATTTTTTCTTCGTAAGTTACACTCACCAATGTCATTGCCGACTGCATAACTGGGATGTGAGTCTGGTTCATCCAATGAGAGCACTTTGAATGACGCCAAGGGCGTAGATCCAGGCTGAGTTGAAAGCATTCCACGGAAACGAGTTACATTCCACGTGCGGACATGATTTGACTCTGAACACACTGTTACAGAATGATGAAAATAATTTACAGAACTTCAGAAAAATTATACTATTATCTGGCTATCAGGGGTGGGACCAGAGGGGGGGGGGGCATCTGGGCCCAGGCCCAGCCATGGAGGGGCCACGTCCCAGCAGTCGGGGAACCATAGTCATATCTGTCAAAAAAATTAAACATGGTGGGGCTGAGGTATTGTAGGTATGGACTTTGGCCCATCTGCTGGGCAATGATGGGCCACTTGTCGGAAAAAAGCTGATACTACCCCTGTTGGCTGTGGAAAGCTTAACAGGTACGCGATTAAGTTTACATTTATTTTTAATGTTACTGTAGTATATTTTATATTTCTGATGACTAACTAGTAAATCTAACCAAAATATATCTAACATTTAACCAGATTTATCTTTTTAAAATCAAAACAATGTAAACATATCTCTGCAATGGCAGATTGGCGAATCCAGGGATTTGAAAAAGAGGGAGCCCAGTGAGGGACTTTCACAGATGGAGGCTCTTGATTGTAAGAAAATTTATAAATATGGCATGCATCTCTCTAGATGGCCGGAAATGGCACTCTCAGACTGCTCCGGATTGTTACACACTTTACCTGAGACCAGGTGTTTTTCCGATAGCATAACCTTAGTGATCCGACTTCTATGAACAGTGAATGTCTGAAAGAGCTGTGGGCCTTGTCCCATTGTCTCCGGATGTTGTACAATCATCCGTACTTTCCCAGAACTTGTGCCATATGCAATTTCAATCCAATTTCCCATCAAAGCTGTAAAATAGAATAGTTTTTTCATAAAATGTAAACCACATTTGTTTCTGTGGTAGCATGCTGAAACTGTTTCCTGGACAAACCAATATAACAATACCCCTACCCCATTTATATTATCCATATTTTATTTGTAATTTTAAACTTTATTGTAACAGCACTATGTTTACATTACCATGTGACATGAATTTCCTGTTTGACAATAGAAGATTTATGGTATGTTATTTAACAATAGATTCCCGACGGAAACATGTGTCAACAGCTTGATATAGTCTTTCTTTTTTTGGCTACTTTTAACTCAACCCATTCATTGTTTTTGCATGATTGTTGACTTTTTACTATTTTCTAGGTCACATCTGGGCCTGGCATCAAATTTCGTACTATCGGAAGACTGTTCACACTATCCTTAGCTTATGACACATCCCATAATTCCTCCAGCCAGATTTAATCTAAAGCTTTGTCTACACTATCACATTTTAAGTGACAAATAAATGTGATGTGCCCATATATGGGCATGATGACATCATATCACATAATTTGAAATTGTATCAAAAAAGTTAAACACATTCAACTTGTTTTTATGTCATCCATCAAAAAGTTTTTTTTTTTTAGAAAACACCTTTTGACCAATAAGCAAACACTACAAACCACCCCAACCAATCGGATTTGATAATTCAGTTTCATCAAAATACACCGAATTTTTTGAGACGAGTTTGATTACATCTGATAGTGTAGACAGAGATTTACAACTTACAGGAGAGATGTCAGCAAATGATAATGTAATTATATGTAGGAAGTTTTTTAAGGAAATACATATCAATAAAAATTTATTATTTGTTCCACATGTTTATAACAGGATAGAACAATGCTCCATAAATATAGTCTGTTTAACTATGGAGGAATTAATAGTTTAACCATCAAGCAACAGCTCCACTCCATCAACACTACAGAATTGAACCCAGGACCTTGAGATCGGAAGGCAAGCATCTTAACCACTAAACTATAGCTACACTACATCACCATTTAAGGACTTGAACCTAGGAACCCTGGGATTGGAAGACAAGCATCTTAACCACTAAACTAGAGCTCCACTCAATGAACATTGCAGGATTTGAACCTAGGGCCCTGGGATTGGAAGGCAGGCATCTTAACCACAAAGCTACAGCTCCAATTCACTTCATAAAGCAAAATAAGAATTTATGCAATACCCTAACAAAGTAACACTTGGAAATTGGGTTAGTTGGTCTTTCTTTTTCATTGGCCTAATTCAAGAAGAGTTGCCTTTTTTCCCCATTGGCCTAATTCTAGAGTTTATGCCATTTTTACTTCCTCCATCAGAAGTATTACAGAACTTCCATAAATTCTAGTAGTTGCTATGAAAATTTTGCCTAAATACAGATGTACGGAAATAGACAAAAATACTACAAAAATTCATCATAGGCCTAGGAGTCATAAATAAATAGGTCTAAGGTCTAGAACAATTGATTCCATCAGGATCTCTGGTTACAGTACTTGTCCCTAGACAACCCATACTCAAGAGAAATTATTAGGTGCAATGGAAATTTTGCATTTACTATGGAAATTTGAAGACTTGGTTACTGAAATGCATTTTACTAACTTGAGAAGCATGCCCCATACATTTGATAAAATGTTTATTATTTTTTAATGATTTGTACCATCTACATTCTCACCAATGATACCACAATGTAAAAAATTGTTTACTTTAGTAAACAAGGAAGAAGTTAATAAATTTATGAATATGTAAACATACTAATCTTTGGGGTGAGATAGACACTAAGTGCTGTGACCGCATCCTGTGATGGATCCGCGTAGAGTTCAGTGACCAGTAGGTCATTGTCCTTCATTCGTAGAGGAAACTTCTGCATATCTGATACATGAAGAAACATAAAAATAAACAAAATCTCTAAAACATCTAATAAAATATAAATGTTCAAAAAAATATTTAAAAGATAAATATAGTCAATAAGGATGTTATAAATATTAAAAATTAATAAAATTGTATAAAACTTTCAACATAAAATTTGATTTTTAAATTTTTATTTCATTCATTTGGCATGCATGACAAAACATAACAAAATGATGTCTAGGAGTTATGAAAGTGGAAAAACCCACTTTCACAAAAAGATGCGTAATGCCCTGTGAATGTGATAAATATTTATTTGAATGTATAAACAAAATCATAAAAGCTTCTTAGTCTAGAAATAGCAATGGTGGAATTTCCTATCTTGTTATAAGGGTCCCTATGCAGGGGCGGATCCAGATATGCCCAAAAGGGGGGACCGAAAGTGGGGGCCAAAATTTGGGCCGATCGAGACAACAATGTCTAGACGCCCGAAAATAACATTTCAGGCGTTGTGGGCTATCATTTTTTCCTTTTTTTTTCTTTTTTTCTTTTTTTTACCTCCCAAAAGGGGAGGTAAAAAAATTCCACCCCTGCTATGTGCCTAAGACTTCACCTCAACTTCATTAACGAAAATCAACTCAAAGTCAGTCCAGTGTAATAAGAGCTCACTTATGTTATCTATCACCGGAACAAGACACACAAAGGACTTCTCTTAACCTATTAAGAAACCAACTCAAGTCATTTCAGCACTTCCATGTTATGATAAGACATATTTTTTGTCAGTTTCACATTTCAAATTGTTTTAAGATTAGGTTTGAGATTCATCATCTGTATGGGACTCTCCTTGTTAAAGGGCAGCCTACAAATGGAAAAATTAGGACATTTCTTCAATCTGTAAATCTTTTAGTTAATTATAGCCTCCGTCCCTTCCCCCTTCTATTTTATTCATTTTTCATAGTTATATTGGATCTGGATTACTGCCATTTCGTTCTTTGTTACCATATATTCTCACGCATAAGGCGATCCGCGTATAAGACGATATCCGAGTTTGAGAAGATTTTTGGACAAATTTGTGTATGTTGAGCGTATAAAACGACCCCTCTGTTTCCCGTCGGAAATCCTACTATTTTTTGCTCTATATGGTCTTAATACTGCATCTAGCTGGTTCAAAACAGAGCCAAAGTGTATGGACTAATCTTCCAAATAACACCATTTAATTGGCTTTCAAATGTTCATCAAAATCTTATTTTTCTGCATTCATTCACAGTTAGTAGCTTAAATTCAGTAGTAAATTTGCATGTTACGGACATCACAAACATGAATTAAAAACCAAAAATGTTTATGTGTTGCGCGTATAAGACAAGGCTATCTTATACGCAAGAATATATGGTAGTTCATAGATTGTGATCATTATGAAATATTTAATGGTGTTACCAGAGACATATCATCAACTTACCTATATAGTAGATGGAGCCGTTAGTACAACCTAACAACAGATACGTCCCTGCTGTATCATAGCTACTGATTGGCTGTATGTTCTGACACTGAGGGCATACAAATAAATATTCAATTAATTCTTTTCTAACCACACATGAATAACAATTTTAAACACAAATGTAATGTGTGAAGAATCATCTCCTATACAATATAGGAGATAATTTCTTGGAAGTTGTCCTTGAGGAGCTACAGGTATGCTTGATATGATTAATTACAACATAATATATATACAAATCAAATAGATAATAATACAGTGCTCAAATATATAGGAACAACATGATGGTATAAAATCATATCAAATTATTATAGCTGTATGAAAAAAAGTTCTCTGGTGGGAATCAAACCCGCAATCTCCATATATTTTTACTGAATTGAATTTTAAAGTTTAGAATAATAATATATAAACTTTTGTTATTGTTCAAGTATATAAAAAAAAAAACTGTAGGGGACAAAATATGACTTTAAAGTTTAGCAACATAATACATATAAATTTTTGTTATTATTCAAGTATATGAAAAATAACTGATATTTAATATGCAATTAGTAGAGCTCCGCATAATACACTATAGGAAAATTATTATACGAAGGTTAGATTTAATGCTTGAACAAAAGGAAATTTTTGAATGCATTAAATCTAACCTAAGTATAATAATTTTCCATTTAGTGTACGATGCATGCTCTACTAATTGCTTTATAAGTCAATCGCCGTCTTTTAATTTTAGTTTTTTATAACCAACTGTTGTAGCAGTCATTGGTTGCTATAGTGACATGATCAGTATATGTGTGCGTATTTACATTTAGCTGTGCGTATGCTGAATTTTGCTCCTGCAGTACACGTTTAACTACACATCAGCAGTACGTCAGTACACAGTACGGATACGATGAATAACTATTGTAATTTGTATTGTGTCAGAAAGAACTTGTTTGTAATGCTATTTTGATAGACTTTCGCCAAAGAAATAAGCATTCGAGAGAGAATACAGTACTGACGTCCTTTTTGGTCGGTGCATGCAAATTTTTTCAAGCATTAAATCTAACCTTTGAATAATAATTTTCCTATAGTGTACTATGCAGAGCTCTACTAATTGCTTATTAGTTTAAAGTTTAGCAAAATACAAAACTCTTGTTAATACTCAAGAATATGGAAAATAACTGTACTGATATTTAATATAAATTATTTTTAAGTTTAGCATAATATATATGTATATACACTCTCGTATTATTATTCAAATACAGTATATCAAAAATAACTGTACTGGGGAAAATCTAAAAAACCCTAAACAATTTTATTAAATCATAGAATTGCTCAATTATAAGGATCAAGTGATTTACAAACTTTCAATGACACTTAAAGAAAACAATTCAATTTCACTGATTCACAGCAAAAACATCTATAACTTGCCTATCAACCAATTTCATTGTGTATGCAAATTTAAGCATATGTTGCAAAGGCAACCCAAACCCAGTCACTTGTCGCAAATTGCATTTCAGAGATAATGGCCAAAACATTGTAAAATATGTAATGTATCAAATTATTTCAAAACCTTAAAATCAACATTTTATACAAATTTTGACTTTGACTTATTTTGGTGAATATCTCAATATGATGATTATGATTTCAATATTGTTTCTCAGCGATCTGTACTCTACCACTGATGTCCGTGAGGAAGTTAGGGTTTTGCTTCTTGACTTCAAGAAGCAAAATTGACCATAGAATACTAATTAGCAAGTTACGTAAACTTAATGTTAACGGAAACCTTCTTTTATGGGTAAAGAGCTTCTTATGCTGTAGAGTTCAGCGGGTTAAACTGAGAAATGTTATTTCATCTTGGTTGTCCCCCATGGTGGAATTCCCCAGGGCTCCTGGTTAGGCCCCATATTATTTATAATATTTATCAATGATCTATCACCTACCTCCCGCTGTATTAAATATATGGATGACACTAACATTTGAGGCAGGTTGTGGCAAAATGGCTAAGTTGTAGCAAAAATTGAAATTCAGGTTATTGGTATTTTTAGATATCTGAGTATGTGATCTTTAAAATGAGTGGCCATCCATTGAAATTGGACATTTCAAGCCTAAGTTATTGTATAGTGAAAGTACAGCACTCTTGGAGTCAAGATAAACATGATTTTTGAGTAATTGCCTTTCAAAGGTATTTGTTCATACATTGTTTAATAGAATTAACTATCAGGATAAAGTTAAATAAACGATTTGTTGACTACTTCCAAAAGTCATATTTTGGGATGTGATTACGACATTAAACTATTGATCTATAGTGAAAAACAAATTTGGATTTTTAGGCAATTTTTTGAGCTCCCATATTTTATAGCTCATTTACTCAATACTGGCCTGTGCGACAACTTAACCATTTCGCCACGACATGCCTCATTTGTGAACGTGTGGTTAAATCTGGTGTTAGTAACCTACAAGATGAGTTTAAATATATCAAGGAATGGTCAAGTAAAAAATTCATGAAGTTAAATAACAAAAAAACAGTTGAAATGGTTGCCTGTCTCTGATGCTTTGTTTTAACTGGTTGTTTTAACCCCAATTGCTTTTAATGTTTTTTATTCCTTTAATTGTTCTTGTTTCCGTTTGGTTGTCCTCCACTTTACCCCATTGTCCCTCTTGTTTTAATTGTATACAAGATTTTATCTTCTGTGGATTCTTATTTGGTAATTTTTATTGTTCAACTTCAATTCGTACTTTAAGAGATCAAATTGCAATAAAGTATTATCATATCGTATCGTATGATTTCACGGTGTGTCTCATTTCGTGGTGAGACCTCGCATATGGTCATGGCCACATTTAGCATGTCGCATGTTTTTGTCAAATGCAATTTGATAGTCTGGACAGGGCTTTATAAAATTACAACTTGGAATTCCCATCCTCCTAAAATGGATTACATGCCATAAAGACATATGGCAACTATGCATCGCTTAAATACCAATCGATAACAAAATGCATCATTGACAATGTATGGTAAAAACACAAATATGGAATTGAATTGAATTTTAAAGTTTATCATAATATATCAACTTTTGTTATTATTCAAGTATATGAAAATATAACTAATATTTAATATAAATTATGTTGAAGTTTAGCATAATATATATAAAAACTCTTATTATTATTCTTATTATTATTGTCTAAGTATATAAACAAAAAACTGTAGGGAACAAAATCTAACTTTAAACTTTAGCATTTTGTTATTAATATAAATTATTTTATAGTTTAGCAAAATATAAAACTCTTGTTAATACTCAAGTATATGGAAAATAACTGTACTGATATTTATTATAAATTATTTTTAAGTTTAGCATAATATATATGTATATAAACTCTCGTATTATTATTCAAATATATCAAAAATAACTGTACTGGGGAAAATCTAAAAAACCCTAAACAATTTTATTAAATTATAAAATTGCTCAATTATTAGGGTCAAGTAATTTATTAACTTTAAATGACACTCGAAGAAAAAATTCAGTTTCACTGATTCACAGCAAAAACATCCATAACTTGCCGATCAACCCATTTTATTGTGTATGCAAAAGAATATGTTGCAAAGACAACCCAAACCCAGTCACTTGTCACAAATTGCATTTCAGAGATAATGGCCAAAACATTGTAAAATATGTAATGTATCAAATTATTTCAAAACCTTAAAATCAACATTTTATACAAATTTTGACTTTGACCTATTTTGGTGAATATCTCAATATGATGATTATGATTTCGATATTGTTTCTCAGCGATCTGTACTCTACCACTGATGTCCATGAGGAAATTAGGGTTTTGATTCTTGACTTCAAGAAGCATAATTGACCATAGATTACTAATTAGCAAGTTACGTAAACTTAATGTTAACGGAAACCTTCTTTTATGGGTAAAGAGCTTCTTATGCTGTAGAGTTCAGCGGGTTAAACTGAGAAATGTTATTTCATCTTGGTTATCCCCCATGGTGGAATTCCCCAGGGCTCCTGGTTAGGCCCCATATTATTTATCAATGATCTATCACCTACCTCCCGCTGTATTAAATATATGGATGATACTAACATTTGAGGCAGGTTGTGGCAAAATGGCTAAGTTGTAGCAAAAATTGAAATTCAGGTTATTGGTATTTTTAGATACCTGAGTATGTGATCTTTAAAATGAGTGGCCATCCATTGAAATTGGACATTTCAAGCCTAAGTTAATGTATAGTGAAAGTACAGCACTCTTGGAGTCAAGATAAACATGATTTTTGAGTAATTGCCTTTCAAAGGTATTTGTTCATACATTGTTTAATAGAATTAACTATCAGGATAAAGTTAAATAAACGATTTGTTGACCACTTCCAAAAGTCATACTTTGGGATGTGATTAAGACATTAAACTATTGATCTATAGTGAAAAACAAATTTGGATTTTTAGGCAATTTTTTGAGCTCCCATATTTCATAGCTCATTTACTCAATATTGGCCTGTGCGACAACTTAACCATTTCGCCACGACATGCCTCATTTGTGAACGTGTGGTTAAATCTGGTGTTAGTAACCTACAAGATGAGTTTAAATATATCAAGGAATGGTCAAGTAAAAAATTAATGAAGTTAAATAACCAAAAAACAGTTGAAATGGTTGCCTGTCTCTGATGCCTTGTTTTAACCGGTTGTTTTAACCCCAATTGCTTTTAATGTTTTTTATTCCTTTTAATGTTCTTGTTTCCGTTTGGTTGTCCTCCACTTTACCCCATTGTCCCTCTTGTTTTAATTGTATACAAGATTTTATCTTCTGTAGATTCTTACTTGGTAATTTTTATTGTTCAACTTCAATTCGTACTTTAAGAGATCAAATTGCAATAAAGTATTATCTTTTCATATCGTATGATTTCACGGTGTGTCTCATTTCGTGGTGAGACCTCGCATATGGTCATGGCCATATTTAGCATGTCGCATGTTTTTGTCAAATGCAATTTGATAGTCTGGACAGGGCTTTATAAAATTACAACTTGGAATTCCCATCCTTCCTAAAATAGATTACATGTCATAAAGACATATGGGAACTATGCATCGCTTAAATACCAATCGATAACAAAATGCATGATTGACGATGTATGGTAAAAACACAAATATGGAATGGAATTGAATTTTAAAGTTTATCATAATATATCAACTTTTGTTATTATTCAAGTATATGAAAATATAACTACATTAATATTTAATATAAATTATGTTGAAGTTTAGCATAATATATATAAAAACTCTTATTATTATTCTTATTATTATTGTCTAAGTATATAAACAAAAAACTGTAGGGAACAAAATCTAACATTAAACTTTAGCATTTTGTTATTAATATAAATTATTTTAAAGTTTAGCAAAATATAAAACTCTTGTTAATACTCAAGTCTATGGAAAATAACTGTACTGATATTTAATATAAATAATTTTTAAGTTTAGCACAATGCAGGTATATAAACTCTTGTATTATTATTATTCATGTATATCAAAAATAACTGTACGGGGGAAAATCTAAAAAACCCTAAACAATTTTATTAAATCACAGAATTGCTCAATTATAAGGATCAAGTAATTTATAAACTTTCAATGACACTCAAAGAAAACAATTCAGTTTCACTGATTCGCAGCAAAAACATCCTTAACTTGCTTATCAACCAATTTCATTGTGTATGCAAAAGAATATGTTGCAAAGACAAACCAAACCAGTCACTTTTTGTTGCAAATCATGTTTCAGAGATAACAGGCAAAACATTCTGAAATGCCAACATTTTTTAAAATGTATTTTATTGCACTAAACAAACATTTATAATATCTATCTACCATGCTATGTTGTTATTAAATATTTTCCCCATTTTCAATGTTAAAACAATAATTCTTAATGATTTAATGATGGTTTCTGCCTGGGAAATGCCCTAAATCGTAAACTTTGAAGGCTGATTTCTCAAACATTTATTGTTTTATTTTTTATAAGCTCAATGCAGAGTAGTATTAAACAAACAGCTTGTCTTCATTGGTTTTTTTTTTGGAATTTAGCCATGTTATGATTATAACTTGGAAATCCCATCCACCTAAAATGGATTATATGCCAAAGACATACAGGAAATATGCATGCATCATGTAAAAGTCATTAATCGATAACAAAATGCATCATTGACGATGTAAAGGTGATTATACAAATGTATATTTGAACAAGTAGTCACCATCAACAACATGACATACGTTGAGTTGGATACCAAGAAATTAATCAGAGAATAATTAATAAAATATTTCATGATGCAATAACGTGATAAACATCCAGTAACCCAAATGTTTTGCCAATTTGAAGCATTCTTGAAACTAAAAATACAGAAAATATATTAAAGATCATTTGTCCTAATATGTAATTTGTATGGTTTGAAGAATTGTTATTACAGAAAGTAAATAGTTTCACAAATATTTATAAGTATAAGTAGCAATTTTTTTAGGCAGCTTTCTTGTATGTTGTTTCTTGTATTTTATCTTTGCAGGACCATATTGTAAAACAGCATTACCATCTTGTCTGTATGTTATGCTCCCTATATGTGTTTATTTAATAAATATAAATAAACATGCCAACAAATCTATAGTGTATTATATTAATATAGTAAACAATGAAAAAAAATCAATTAAAAATTAATAGGAACTCTAATAATTATAGAGCTTTCAATATGGCTGTTTTTATGTATACAGTAATTTTTTATAATATGGAAAATGTTGCATCCGACCCCATATTTTTGGAAAATCCACTGTTGCATAATTTTGTTTATATTTCAGATATTTTCTCAATAATGCTGGGGTCTTGCTGTTAATTTTTTTGTTAGTGGAATTTTTACATTTTTTTTATGTGGAGATGAAACAATTGAAATGAAACAAAACAGAATAAAAACAGGATTTATTAAAGATGTACTATCTTTTATAATGTTTAAAAGGGACCAACTTTTACAGTACAGCAGTAAACACTGCTAACCAACAGAGCTCATCAAATGGAAATTATTTTAATTAGAATTTTAATGATCTCTTAACGAGTTCCATATGCATGTGAACCTTATTTCCAGTTCTATTTTAGACAACAATAATACTGTCTGCAGGAGATAGACATTTTTAAAAACTGTATTTTGAAATTTTTTGAGTTAGGTAACATAATTGAATCACATGGCTGATGTGCAATAAAAAAAAATCTAGTGACAACCGCATGGAAACACATATGACCTGAGGTTATGACATGTGACCTACTGAGGTCATATCATGTGACCTGATTAAACCAGATTGTTTACCTGCCAACTGCGGGTTACAGCATGCCAAACTCCTACTTTTCCTGTATGGCTTGTTGCAACAAGCTGACTGCCAATGAAAAATAGTGAATCGACCCTCACACCCAGGTCAAATGTGCCTGAAATAGACAAAACCGATATCTTAATCTTTTTCCAACTGAAAATACAACACTGATACCCTACATCTTTGTAAATGAAATGATATTTCCTAATGACAATACATATATTTTGATAAATTAACCATTTCTAATATATGGATAATGGCATACTATATATTCTTTTATATACCTCATACATAAATTCTAGAAATCTGATTGGTTAAGAAGCAGTCAATAGAAAGTACAAATATTTTAAGTCCTGTATATATTGTGTTTTAACCTTCTACAATATATTATTAATATCTTTAGTTAATAGATATTATTTTCCGATTTAAATATCTCAAGAACAAATTCTGAATTAAATATTTTACAAACCTATTTCGTTCCGTAAACTATCATCTTGGCAACACCATAATCGAATCATACTACCAAACGCAACGGCAAGCATCTTATCACGACCATCTGTCTGTGTGACCCCAACGACCTTTGAGTTGAGAGCGAGTCTTTCAATACATTGTTCAAGATATGGTGTCGTAAATACAAGCTGCCATCCACTGGACTCTTTGATGCGATAGCAACAGACAAAGTGTGCGTAGGCTACAGCAATCCAACCATGATGACCTGTCACATTTATCACCTTCCTAGGGTCTATATCTTTGGTAAGATATGAAATGAAGTTTTATGTGACAAATTTGTCCTATAAATAGGCAAATCATAGGTTTTTGTCACATAATATTTTTGTTTTATGATGTCTTCAGTCCAATGGAAGGCAAGCATCTTAACCACTATGTTACAGCTCCACTTTATCAACATTGCAGGATTTGAACCCATGACCCTAGGATTGGAAAGCAAGCATCTTAACCACCAAGCTACAGTTCCACTCCATCAACATTGCAGGATTAGAACAAAGGACCCTGGGATTGGAAGCCAAGCATCTTATCCACTAAGCTACATTTCGTATATACATAGAATTTGGCTTAAGAAGAAAAAAGATATTTAAGTATCTTCCAATTGAGGCTTACTTAAACTCATTTCAATGTCCGATTTCGTATACTCAGTTGCAGATACAGGGCGGTGGTCTCGTCCAGATAAACTGCGGGCTGATCCTGGCCGGGAATGTAGCTCTGCTTCTGTTGCAATACTGTTTCGGTGCTCACTACGAGCCGGAAAACCTATAATGGGATATTTGTTAGGATATACATTACATCAGTTTATCTTTCTCACATTAGTTGTGTATTTGCATTATATACATATAAGCCTGGTTCTCACAGAATCGGGAGCTAACCATTAGCGGTATCCGGATACGCTAATGGTTAGCAAGCGCTATCGGTTAGCAAGTTGAGGGCGTTTCTGTCATCAACCAATCACACATACGCGTTTACAATTTCCAGTTTCTTATTGGCCAGTGATTCTATCATCATATTGTTGGTATCCGAATCGGGATTTTCTCGCATGGCAGCTAACGGTTAGCAGGATCCGGATCCTGCAAACCGTTAGCTGCAGTGTGAGAACATAGCCATTATTATAATTTAGATTTAACAAAATTTTCAGTGTACTACTTACATGGAGCGTTGAGATAGCCATGAAAGAGCACATTACCACACGTTGATCTACCAAGATCCTCACACAATGACAATTTCTTCACAAGTGGGGATATTCCATAGAATTCTGCATCATGCCTTAAGGTCGTTAGATTTACCCCCCTCACATCCAAATCCTTGGTACGCAAGTAATTCAAAATTGGAACGAACACTACAGGATCTCGGTCAATAAATATCTATTGAAACGATCACAAGCAAAGGAACGTGTCAAATTAATATAAAAAGGACATAAAATGAATGTGTAGAAAATTGATAAACTGCTTTAGTAATTATAAGGGTCACTTACTGCTCCTTCCTCATCCCTCATAGAAGATATACGACCACTCAGAAGACTATTAAGAAAAGGATATAGAAATTAATTCTCTTTTAATATCGTCTCTAGGCGTACAGTATTTTCACTAACTGTATTTGTACATAATGGTATTTTGTTAATTAAGTCTATAAATATTTGCATTTTCCATAAAAATATTTATGTAATATTTTTTTATTTTTCATCAGCTTTTGACAAAGTACCACACAGCAGACTAATAAAAAAACTCAACATGTATGGCATTACAAGTATTATCTATAGATGGATAACAAATTCTTATCGAACAGAAAACAAAGAGTTATTTATAGAGGAGAGGAGTGGATTAATGTAACATCTGGGGTCGCTCATGGTTCTGTGTTGGGGACACTTCTCTTCCTAATTTATAGTGATACTGTAAATGATATCTCATCATCACTATTTCAGTTTGCAGATTACCATACTCTCTCCTACCAAATCAATAAGGTCTAAACAAAAAATTGTTCGTTTGCCCTCCAGCACCCGCCCCTAGCTCACTGAAAAAGAGGGGGGAGTTTTTAAAACAAGCTTTTTTTTTCGATTTTTTGTTCACAAATTTAAGAAAGTGATCTTTATTTTTCTCCATTTTGCACAAGAAAGTTGCCTAAATTTGGTGTCTGATGTAAGGTATCGCCATTCTAGGCATAAATTCATTGCAAATTATTGATTATGGGTTATTTTTATAATACCCTTTGAAAAACAAATAGTGAGACAGGCTTAATTGCAAGCATTGCAATTTAATATGTTAATATTGGTGACATGAGAAAAATTTTTCTTTTTTTTTTTAACTTTTTTGCACCCCCCGTCCTATACAATTTTCAGCATTAAAGGGCATAATATGAAGGATAGGGAGCAAATCTTTTTCGAGCTTTCGCCCATTCCCTATTCAGGCAATACATGTTATTTTTATTATTATTATTATTATTATTATTATTATTATTATTATTATTATTATTATTATTATTATTGTAGACCTATTATTCTATCATCTTTAGCTTAAAAAATGGTTCATACTACTATACACCCTAAATGGTTAATTTGAGGCTATACTATGCTCGGAGATGAAATCGAGGGGTATACTGTAGTACTATGGCAGTTCTTGCAAGGCAGTATGATATTCTATGTTATGTTGTTGTCATGAATTCCTACTTGACGTATTTCTGAGCGTTAAAGAAATGAACAGGAATCCCTCCCTCTAAAATATAAACACAGCTCACAATGTTGTAACACAACCCTCAAATAAACTTTTTATTCTGTATAAACTCCAACAAGAATTTGGTATCAAATAACACAACAAATATTCACATAAACATGTGTTTTAAAAAAGAGTTCCCTGAAAAACCAAGCTCTCATCTTATAATATATACAGTAGCTCTAGAACTCCAGAGCATTCAAGAGCATTCCATGTTGCCTAAAGTCCCTCATTGGTCACATTACATCATAATTAACCAATAGGCTTATTGCCTCTACATTATCCAAGATTCCAGAAGCTTCCAAATATTTCTCTTGGATTCTACATGGTGTCATGTGTTCCTATAACTAGCAATGTGGTTTACACTGTTTGTTTGATCACATAAATGTACTTCTAGAATGTTCTATGTATTATATGTTACAGTGAAGAAAGGAATGGTAATATTACAATTGCATATATTTCTACAAATACATTTTAATGGAAAGCAAAGGAAAGCTAAAAACGTTCATACAAATTGAGCAACCCAAAATGAAATTTTAAATTTCAAATTATTCCATAGCTGACTGCACACAGTATCTTCTATATCCCCGTCCAGATTATCAAATTTTATTTGAAAACAGCACATGTGAGACGCTTAAATATGGTCATGTTGACTATGTGCCTGTTTCTGCTGAGCAAAAAAAAACGTGTTTTTAAACGGTTATTAAAAAACACATGTTTTTTTCCCAGCAGAAGCAGGCCAAAGAACAAAAACGCGGGTTAGAAATGCGTTCTAAAAACATGTGTTTTAACACGCATTAGTATAGGGTTGGCGTTCAGAAAACACATGCTTCGTCGTACACTTTTCAGCTGCAATGCAATACCATGTTAGTCATCATAACCTGTCAAAAAAAAAAATTAAACCAACAGGATGACATGATTGAGGCTTTACCATAATTTGTTCATACTTTCGCGGTGGGTTGTTTAATTCTTTCGCAGCATGCGCTGTAGCCCGCAGGAAGTAAGGTCAACTTCAACTTCCGTTGGTGATCATCATTATAAGCTCCGTTTTTATTAATTGCACTTTTCACTAGAAACTCGTTCCGAAGCAATTTAACCCTTTAAAAAAAACATCATGCCCATTACATTCAACAAATTACACAAATTTTGCTTGTAGTAGATATATCCCACAAATTCATTATATTTATGTTTTCAATCCAGTATACCGTACTTGCGCGAATAAGCCAAAAATACTTTAAGTGCCCGGGTGCCTAATTGCGCCGCGAGTACGGTATTATCAATTGTCTCCTAAAGAAGGCAGCTGGTGATGGGTATCACCATACGCAGCAATATACTGTAATTTTAGATGTGTTAAGAAAGCTCATTTAATGTACTTTTCTTTATGTTTTTCAGCTTACCTGGAGAAAAAAGAGTCAGGTACCCATGACAGTGTTTGTTTTGAAGTTGAAAATCTGAAATTCAAAATAAAATTTTTTTTAATATTATTAATTAGAGAAGAAAACTCACTACATTGTTATTAACAGTGATCCTGTAGTATTATAAAAATAAAGTTAAATTTTAATGGGACCTGGCCAATTTGCATCAAAAAAAAAAATTTGTTTGAACACAAAATTATTTATTTTAAGCCAAGCAGTGACATGCAAACTCCCCCCCCCCACTTTTGTGACTATTCCCAGCACCAGTGATAAACATTATTATCTGCACCTTATAAATCGACCTATTATTATTGTACAATATAGATTTTCTGTTTTCATTTTCAAACGAACATTACAAGTTCCCTTTTTGAGTTGAGCAACCAGATGTTGATTGACGTCTGTATACGCGTACATCTGTAAAGTTTTCTTGAATCTTACCCTCGAGCATGAAGAAAAAAGAATGAAATCGCCCGCCTTGCACAAATTCTTCATTATGCATAGGGTAGAGGTAGGCGCCCTCTATGGAGCGACGATGTAAGTGTAACTGATTGGTTTACGTAATAGACACATTTAAATTCCATCTAATTTAACAAAAACAATAAGATACTTAATTTAGGCCATTTATTAAAATAAAGTTCTCTGAAGGTTAACTACATAATTTATAACTGTAGTATAATGTATTATAGCTTGTAAAAACAGTATTAAATAAAAGAAACCTTTCAAATAAAAACATCTTTCACTTGACATTAGGAATTAGTATTTGTGAAACAAAATGATAGATATAAGATTTCTCCATCTGATGAATTTAGTGTACACCCTGTCATGTCAAGTGTTATATTCAACAGTGGCGGATTCAAGGGGGAGCCCAGTAAGCACGGGGCCCCAACTTCCTATTTTTTTTCAAAATTCTAAAATAAAAAATAGAGAAAATAAACCAAATTGTATTCAACTTTTAATCTGAAAGCCCAACTCGTTTTTTGAATGCATTAAATCTAACCTAAGTATAATAATTTTCCGCTAGTGTACGATGCAAGCTCTACATTGCTTTATAAGTCAATTGCCGCCTTTTAATGTTGGTTTTGATAACCAACTGTTGTTTGTATCAGTCATCGGTTGCTACAGTGATATGATCAGTATACAGTACTGTGCGTATTAACATTTAGCTGTGCGTATGCTGATTTGTGCTCCTGCAACGTACGCATTAACTCAATCACAGAGCTAGCTTCATTGCACAGATACGATGAATAACTAGAAAAACTTGCTTATAATGCTCAGTATTTTGACAGACAATTGTCGTCAAAGAACTAAACATTTCCTAAAGCATTGAGAAAGAATACAGTAGTCACTTTTTGGTCGGTGCAGACAGGTATGATCCATAACTATTCTAGGCTACGACCTAGGAAGGAGGCCTCAGCAGCCTCCCTACCTACCTGGCCGTAGGCCTATACCTAATTTCATACCTTGAGTCTTTAAAATAGGTCTAGAATATTCTTATTAAATGTTCAGTTTGTTTAGTTTATGAGGGCCCATTTATTCAAGGAATTCCTTAATTGTTCATACTTAATATTGAATTTGAAGTAACTTTCTTCGGGTTCTAACTAACTTTGTTTTACGATAGTAATTTTCAATTACAATTCAATTTTCATCGTGGTGCTTGATATCTTCGCGGTGACAAAAATGAGGAATTTTTTTTGCACACACACCTAAAATAAATCAATTATTTGCTGTTGTAGTATTACTGGGTGCCAATGCACTTTGGCACATAAACACATAATTATTAAACATTTTTACATGATTCAACCACTCACAAAGTACATTTTTCAACAAAAAAAGATACCTTTATAAATTTATAGAGGTTGATACAGCGTTTCCATGCTTGCCAGCACAATGAGCTGTACATACTATTTTGCTGCTTTGCAATCTAGTAAGAAATTGCCAGAATGTCCGAATCAATTCTTTATAATTGAAATAATTAAAGGCCAGTCTTATAATTTGAATCTGAATTTTCCCATGAAACATCCATCAACAAAATGTGGCATCATTACGTGGTACCATCTGTTTGAACTTTCATGTCGTAATCAAGGTTAATCGCACGGAAGCATTCAGGGGTGGCACCCGCGGGGGCCAGGGGCTTCCCCCACCATTGGGGAGAAAAACCACAATTCGTCGGGGAGAAAAAAAATTTATGCTATTTTCTACATATTAGCAGACACTAAAATCGATTAAATAAGCCTTTGAAACCCCAAAATTGTCAAATTTTCGTTGCCTTCGCCCCCTGGACCAGTTCAACTGTTCCTGAACATTTTAAGAGATGCTAAACCACGCCCATTTTGCTGTCAATTTGAGAAATCTGCCTCCTCGTCGGGGACCCCCCTCCCCACCGTTAAAGAAGGTATTTTGTGAGTGGTTGAATCATGTGAACATATGTTGTGACTGTGAGAAGAACATTGAGGTAAAAAAATAAAGAAGTAAAAGTTACGTGCAAAAGTGGATTACTGCCGTATATTACTAGTGTTTGGCGGCGTCTCCCATGTTTAGGCCTAAATTAACGCAACATTGCTAGACCGGATTGGACGTTACACTAGCCTAGGCCCTCAGGAAATTTTTTTAAGCATTAAATCTAACCTTTGTATAATATTTTTTCTATAATGTACGGAGCTTTACTAATTGCTTAACATCTACATTATAGACCTCAGGCCTCTAGGCCTAGGCCCTACCTAGGCCTACTATTATTAGGCCTGCCCGCCCTAAGGCCTAGGCTAGCCTACTTTTTGACAAAGAGCAGGGACACACTTCACCCAGACAGCTTAGCTACATTTCAAATACAGTAATAATTTTATTATAAATCGGCCCTCGTCATCTAGTTTTACATACTTTGTTCCTCCAACATTCAATTTTATTATCTCTCCTGGTGAAAATCCGTAGTTCATTCTCAAAATAGTACACAGAAGACCTTCCTCCTTAGCTAGGCCTCTAAACGTACGATACGCATGATTGGCCGTGGTCCATATTCGACTGGTTCGTTTCGTTGACAACGATTTTTTGTTGAAAATCGAAAGTTAACCACCGAAGGTCAGTGGAGGATTCAAAGGGAGGGGCTCCTAAATTTTCCAAATTATTAAAATAAAATTATATGTAGGAAGAAGAAAATTATATTCTAAAATTTATGTCATTTCCGTCCATCTAGAGATGCCATAATTATAAATTGCCTACACAACTATCGTGGGACTGAGGTGGTAGAGGCTTGCTATCTGTGAAAGTCACTCCCTTCACCACCCCCCCCCCCACTTTTTTTTTGATGATGATGTTCCCCTACTTTGAAATGAGGAAAACTCCCTATTACGAACCAGCTAAAAAAAATAGATTTATGAATAATATTTGAAAATGTTTACTTGTATCTCTGCATCCTGTTTACTTATTTGCTGTTTCATTACAACCACTTTCATAAAATTCAGTGTTTATGAGCATGACCATGAAATTTAATTATTCAAGCCGTACTAAATTTGTTATTACCTCACTTCTGACATCATAGATTCGAGTGGAAGTGGAAAAACAGTTTAACGGACTGACGCCCGCTACGGACGACAATTCTACGATTATAAACTTTAACATAACTTCAAAAATATAGAAAATAATATCATCAGACAGTCATGAAATGATTAATTGCATAAATGCGTCTGATTTTGACATGCTTATAGTCATTCTCACATTCATTATAGTCAGCTCTTACCGCCTCATCTCTTTCTGGCTCCGTGTGTTTTTCTAAATAAAATGGACCATGCCAGAGTGCAATCAAACCAGTTAAACAAAAGAGTACTCTTTGAAACAACGTAACAAATTACTAATCAGAACAGGGCCCCAATACGCACCTGTCTACAAAAAACGCACGTGTACCTAGGCCTGCCACTGATCTCTACTATTTACCGTATGTGAGACCTTAGCAACAATATCCAAGGGGCGGAGTCACACAGATATGGGAAATCCCCTTTTTCCAGTAGTTTCTGGATTGGTTGATTACGTTAGTGATTAGTGTTTTGCCAAACACGTTACAAGTTGTGGTGTCATTTCTATGAATTACAGATAACGATATAGTTGTGTTTTGTTCACCTAAAGCCACTGTCATATGTTTAATACACAGTCCGAAAACGCAAATTCAAATCTGCTAACCAAGACAGATTTGAGTTTAGGAAGCTTAGCAGATTTTGGTTACAAGTTGAATTTTTTCAACGAAAGTTTATTAGAAGACCTCAGATGTGGTATATGTCAACTTGCCGTACACAATGCAATGCAGGTGCCTTGCGGGTGCCGGTTTTGTGCCAGCTGTATTTTAAACCAGAAACATGAGTAAGTACAGTCCTACAGTAGGCCTACTCTCTTCTTTTTTTTTTGTACTATAAATACTAAATAATATATACTAAATAAAATAGACTATGGACCTTCATTAGACCTTCTTGACACCCTTGAGGGGTGTCTAGTGGAGGGGTAGCATCGGGAAAAAAAATCTGTCTAGGAACACTGCTCTGAAAAAGAATTTTTACCGTCAGAGAGTGCCATTTCCGAGCCTAGATAGGCCTATTCTTAAAATCCATATATTGCCAATGTTCCGCCACCCCGTCATAAAATTTCTGGATCCGCCCCTGCAACCATGGTGGGCCTGAGGTGATGTGGACTCCGCGCACCCCCTCTGCCAAATCCTGCATCCACCCCATCATGCTTCGTTAATATAGATGCATTTCTGGCTTTTAATCACATCGATTAATTAATGCTCTACATTTTATAAGAACACTGAGGCTGAAATTGCTTAAAAATTAAGAACAAAATAAGAACAAATTGAGGCTGAGGTAAAATTTCAAATGAAGTGTATATTTTTTTTAAACCAAAATATTATATCTGTACATATGTGTGCAGTAGGTGTGACTGTAATACCCTCTATAACAGTACAGTAAGTGTCACTATCTGACATTTGGGGGCCATTTTTTGTGGGGTTACTTCCACCTACATTCCAGTACAGTGCACAACTGCTGTACAATTATATAATTTTTTGTTTAAAAGGTCTGTAAACTAAGAACAAAATAAGAACAATTTGAGCCTAAAATCGGCCAAAAAATAAGAACACTGAGCCTGGGCAAAATTTTACTGGTTCTTATTAAAAAAATTGTATAAGCCTATTCTATTTTGTTAAAATTGTTTTGCAGTATCATGATATTTTTGATATTGTAACCTGATGAAGTTCTGTAGCTGATTGATTTTGTTCAAAGAAAAGCCGGTGCCAGTAGGGCCTACTTAGCTGTATATACGCAATCATAAGAAAGTATAATACATACTCCAAGTATTGAAATACACGTCATCGTGTTGGGATTCAATATTTCGACATTAATTATGTCATCATCATATAATACATACTCCAAGTATTGAAATACACGCCATCGTGTTGGGATTCAATATTTCGACATTAATTATGTCATCACCAGGCCTGATGATGACATAATTAATGTCGAAATATTGAATCCCAACACGATGGCGTGTATTTCAATACTTGGAGTATGTATTATACTTTCTTATCTGAGATTAATCAGTGGACCTTTCGGTTTTATACGCAATCATATTGTGCAATTTCAGCTATTCAATTGGATTGCCAGTTGTTGATGAAATTACCACCTGTGTAGGGCCTACTTTCGTAATCACATGTACTCAAGCAAGTGCTTAAAACAGTGGCAGATCCAAGATTCGAAGTAGAGGAAGGCTTTCACAATGATTGCAAACCTGCCAACCCTTGGGTCATGAAAATCTGGAGATTTTATTAAGAATCTTTAAAAAATCTGGAGATTTAGGCCTACCAACAAATCTGGAGGGTTCCAGAATTAACCAAAATATTATGCAAGATACCAAAAAAGTCACGTTACTACAAATAATTGGCCGTTGGTGGCGACATTCGAATTGAAAATTGCTGCTTGTCTATTGCACCGCGAAGCGAGCAGGCGGCAAATACATTGAATAATAACGATCAAATCAATCAAAATCAGTATTTTGTGGAGGGAACCTGTAAAATCAGTAAAATCGGGTGAAAATTACATTCGATTGGGAGAACTGGAGATTTTGTTTAAACATTAATATTTGGCACCTGATGAATTTAAATTTTAAAATGATTTTCTCTTTTTATCCATTTTTTAAAATAATTATGAGAAAAATTGGGGGAGGGGGTGTTGAATCTGCCACTGTAAAATGTCAGCAGAGGACGATGATTTATTATGTGTTTATTTATGTGTTGTACTGTACAGTAATACACTAATTTGATATTTATCCGTAGACCCAGGTGTTTAGATGAATTGACCAGGGAGATGTAAAAAATATTTTTTTTTACATCTCCCTGAATTGACTGACTAGTGTAAATGGATTGTACTGTACATCTCAACTGCTGTAAGCATGCTATTGTTATTGGATTGGATTTATTCGGTGTAAACACCAAGGATAGCCCACAAAAGTCTAGAAGAAGACTTATTTCCAGTGGGGTCCTTCTGGTGGTGATTGGACAGTACACCGGGAGACAAAGGCCCCTACTCTTTTCTGAAGAGTGTAGGCCTACTGCGTGGCCTACTGCGTTCTTTAACGTGCACATGGGCCATAATACATGCCATAGTCTCAATTAATGCACGATGTCGGATAGACCTACTCCTTAATGCATCACCTAAAAGTTCATGTAGCAGTCACCTCCACATGAAAAAAATACATTATTTTTTCTTTCTCCAGGCATTGCGCATGATTCTTTTGACATTTTTTTTCCAATTCAGTATTATAAACAAAATATCTTTCATATTAAATTTAGATTATTAGAGTACCAGAAATGCCCAAGGAATATCAGAATCAATTATCTATTTTGGCAATCTTATGAATAATATTTGGAATTTTTTAGGGAAACTTGTATCTCTACATCCTGTTTACTTATTTGCTGTTTCATTACAACCACTTTCATAAAATTCGGTGTTTATGAGCATGAACATGAAATTTAATTATTCAAGCCGTACTAAATCTGTTATTACCTCACTTCTGACATCATAGATTCGAGTGAAGTAATTAACTTTTTTTTGTTTTCTTTATTTATATATTAATGCATTGAAGATGGTGTCTTTCTTATTTTATATTTTTTATAAGGTCTATCAATATCATGATGCAGTCATGTTGAGTTTTTAAAATTACAACACGTTTTAAGTTAGTCCTATTATTATCTAGTTGATAGATATCTCAGACAGTCTTTAATCAGCCGAATTTTGTAGGCTTAAAACTGAATTTCATAGTTTTGTATTAATTAATACATAGTTTTCTTTGTTTTTCCTTTAGAGAGTGTGAGTCATATACCATTATTTGCTTTTTGGAATAATGTGCAGTGGAAATACTTATAGTACCTTATAATTAGATTTACTTGTTTCCATAATTCAACAGTAACAATATGGCCTATGTTTATAGGCCTACACTTACTATGTTTTTTTATAGATGCCTATTCATAAGCCTTCTTTAAAATGAGTTAATTTTTTTAGAAAATGACAGTAGTGAGTTCTATATTAGGAATATTTTTTTTTTTTTAACTTTAGCAATTCAGGAAAATCAGCATGTCCAAACTGTAATGAAGAGTTCAGCAAAGACGAACTCGCTCCTGACCATCATGCTCGTAGACAAATCTTAAAAGCAATTATATACTGCCCTCATAAGGACCAGGGATGTGTCGAGACGTTTCCCCGGAAAGAACTTCAGCATCACTTGGAAAGTTGTCCATTTTCACCTGTCACTTGTTTGCATCACGCACGAGGATGTGCTACAAAGCTAATGAGAAAGGACCTAAAGAAACATCTACAAGCTCAGTGTGAACACCGATTGGTTGAATGTCAGTTTTGTAAATCGGCCATTCCACATTCTGATATTGAGGTCAGTCCAACATATACAGTATTAATTTATACCTTAAGTTCTGTAATACTAATTCTAAAAAAATATAGATTATACATCAAATTATAATGTTCTATTTAAAATAAAAAAATTATCTTTTATTTTAGAACCATAAAAAATTCTGCCCAAAATTGCCTGCTTCATGTCCAAATGACTGCGGGTTGAAAGAGATCCAAAAAGATATGATGGAAAAACATCTGAATGAAGACTGCCCTCAACAAGAAAGAAACTGTAAATATCAACATTATGGATGTGAATTTAAGGTAGGGAATTCTCTTCTTTTGTTTTTTTTTAAATCTTGAGTATTAATCATATTAGTTTGAAGATCCATTTTGAATATTTTGTTCCTGGTTGAAATCCACCGCTAGTCTGTCTTTGTCTTTCAACTAGAGAGTGGGACCTATAAATAAGTATGGCCTACGTTAAAGAACACAGTTAGGCCTATACACTTTTCAGAAAGAATATGGGATTGTATTTCAGTGTACTGCTCGCCACCAGAGGGACCCCACTGGAAACCTCAGACTTCCGTGGGTTATTTTATTTTGGTCACACCCCGTAAAAATCCAACGAACCAAAATCTGATTTAAAATTCGTATCGCTTTATATGTGTTTTACAGGGTGCGCAAGTAGGAATGGAAAAACACATGGAAGGTAGTGTTAACCAGCACCTTGATTTGCTAATACTGGTCATTGCACAAATGAATTTGAAATTCTCTGAGTCCCTTCGCCATATAAGTGAGTTAGAAAGTCAGAGAAGTATACAACATGAGAAGGAAAAAGAACTTCTGAACCAAGTTACATCTATTAAGCAAACACAGAGAGTTAAAGATGAACGTATCACTAACCTGCAGGTAATAGTATTCTACGTTTCACCACTTGCATATAATTATACTTATCCAACTACAGGAATCTGCCTTATGGCCAGTCTCATTAACCATGACAACTACCATTCTTCATATGCATAGTTTATAGGCAGTTTATAGGCCATACCCCATATTGGCTCAAACGGCTAATAACATTGAATTGAAATAGGATATGCAAGTCAGTAATATATTTTATTCGATATCGTAAGTCGTAAGTGATTGGTGTATTGACACATCTCACTCTTCCCCTGTAGTTACGAGTTTGAGACTAAAAATATATAATAATATCCGTGCCAGAACAAATAATTAATTAATATAACTGTAGCTGTATGTTAGTGGTTAAGATGCTTGCCTTTCCGCACTGGTTATTGGACTTAAACAAGATACCAAGATTCACGCTAAAACAACTAAATTTTAAGTCTTATCTAAGCATCATAAAGAGACAGGCCTATTTACACAATTTCATCGTAACTGTACTTGTTGTTTGATGTTAACAAATTCTAAAAATAATTGACTTGATAATGGTCATTTAATATAATTACAGAGACTATTTGCCGGCCATGCAGATAACATTGCAATGTTGGAAGATAAAATAAAAGCTACTGCTGATAAAAAGGACATCGGAGAGCTTCGACAGCTGCTTGCATCTCTCCAAGATTCAACGAAAACGTTGACGAAGAAAGTGCAAGGAATAGAACAGAATAATCATCACATTGGAGGCGCTGTAGCAAGACCCAATTTGCCAAGTATGTATTTAAAATATCAATTTTTAGAATCTTACTGTCATATTAATCTAATGAAGTTGACAATTTAAAGTTTATATCCTATTCACTTAAGTGAAAGTTTTTAATTTTATATTGTATCTTAATTTGTTTGGGCAGTGATATGTGGTCATATGTTGAACGACATAAAACCTAATTGTGTTTGACTATATTCGTAACATTTTAGCCCAAGTTCAGCTGACCAAGTTTGAAAAGGAATTGGATATTCAGTCCGTGAAACTATCTGAACAAGATCTACGATTCCAACTCTTGGAAACTGCTAGTTACGACGGGGTGTTACTATGGAAAATCTCGGGAATACGTCGACGGAAGCAGGAAGCAGATAGTGGAAAAATTGTGTCCTTGTACAGCCAGCCATTCTACACCAGTCGGTATGGCTACAAAATGTGTGCAAGGATATATTTGAATGGGGACGGGATGGGGAAGGGGACTCATGTGTCCCTCTTCTTTGTGGTCATGAAAGGAGATTATGATGCTCTTTTACAATGGCCCTTCAACCAAAAGGTAAACTAATATTAGCCTAATAGTTTAAATATGTATGCAGCAATATGAAAGTGGAATTTCGGTGAACCATCTAACGGTTACTTTCATTGAAACAATTAATTGGAATTCCTTCAAAAATACCCACCGACATATGTTGCATTATTATGTGTAGCAGGTGTTTTTTTTTCTTTCTTTTCTGCTTAAACCGTCATGCTCTTAATTTGGAATGGAATGTTTCATTGTTTTCTCAACTTTTTTGTAGGTAACGATGATTCTGCTTGACCAAGAGACCGGAAAACGTAGCCTCACAGATTCATTTAAGCCTGACGGCAGAAGTAGCAGTTTTAAAAGACCAACTGGCGACATGAACATAGCTTCTGGGTGCCCTCTGTTTGTGTCACAACAAATCCTCAAAGACTCCGCTTACGTCAGAGACGACACAATGTTCATAAAGATGATCGTTGATACATCTGACCTTTATATGTAACAAATGGTATTAAGGTTTCTTGGACCTGTTTTTTCATTTCATTTCATTTCTTTAGGCACGAGGGCCAAGGATATGCCAATAAGTGAACTTAATCACTGTCCTACGTGGCATATCCACTGTCTCTTATACACATCTAGATGTGTATAAGAGACAGAACCTAGGTACTTGTTTTGACCTTATTCACATATTAATACTCTTTACCTAACAATAATAATAATATAATAATAATAATAATAATAATACTAGTATAGTAATAATAAGAGTAATAATAATAATAACGTGTTAATAGTACATGTTACTTTTTTTCTATTTGTGTTATGATTACCGTATATATAGGCCTGTATTGTATATTTTTGTATTTCATATCTGAGATTTTCGAACAAATAAATAAAATAGACTCCATAAATATATGGTAGGAACACGTTTAGATATTGTTCAGTAAACATTATATGATATTATAACTAAAACTGATTGAAATTATATACATATCTTACCTTATTTTAACGAATTAGGCATACTTATCACAGTAGTTGTAAAAGTTACTTTACTTTTTGAATAAATTATTAGCTTCCAATTAAAAATTAGAAATAGCAAAAACAATGGTTTTCAAATTGAGTCAACTCAAAATCCTGTCGCCAAAAATATTTTGCGGTTAAGAGGTCGTTTTGAAATATTTTCATTTTATATTGTTTTTATATTATTTTAAATATGTTTCGATGTGCATTAGCCATTAAATATATTTTCTAATAGAGGATTATTATTCTTCATTGAATAACCATTTATTACAATATAAATGTCCTTGGTGGTACAATATAAATGTCCTTGGTGGTCCAACAGGAATTTATCACCCTGGACAACACCTTTTGCGGCATAAAAGCATGTAACCATGTAATACTGTGAAGTGGGTCGCGATTAAATACCTGGACGATTATTAGGGTCGTCGGCCAAAGACTTTGAGAATCACTGTTTCAAATGAACTTGTTCATGTTTAATTATTACTATGTCCATAGTCTTCCTCTATAGGCTACCCTTAGATTTCTGCCAGTAAATTAAAAGATTTTAGTGAAGTGCCTGTGAATCATTTAAAACATTTATTTTAATAATGTGACAAAATTATGCTGCATTGCCGTACCAGTTTGTGAATTCTTTTTTTTTTTTTTTTTAGTCCAATATTTTAAATGCTTGTGTTTTTTTCTCAATTGCTTAATTGCCAGTGTATCCTGCGTTAAATGCCTGTGGTACACCACGTATGATAGTTGGAACTGTTGTTTTGACAATGTCTCGACGTTTTGATCGAGTTGCTTCAAATCGTTATTATATAAATGCAGTAGGCCTAAGCATTTTTAATTGAGTAATATTTTATTATAAAAAATAGTTTATATTAAGATAAGAAAAACAAATAATAAAGTATTATGCATTCTTTAACGGTTACAGGTAGGCCTAGGCCTACTTTCGATTTGAATGCTACTATGTGAGGTATGTCACAGTGGGGTGTCTCATTCCATTGTTATTAATATACAATACGACAATCCAATCCTATCTATATTTGGCTTCATTCACAAATGTATTTTGCAACTCGGCGCGTTATACACAGTCCGATGTAATACTGTATAAAAATTATGTAATTAGGATTTAGTATAAGCTATTAACAGTTTATTGATTTATATATATGAATGATGTATATTATTCTGCAAAGAACGTTTATTAATGTATGATTATAACAACATTTCGAATGTAACATGATGTGCTAATGTATCTTATGTGTAGCCTATAATGTGTGAGCCATTTACACAGGAAAACACTTCATGTAAGGTAGAACCCGATTAAAGGGGACACCTTCCAGAGCCAAAAAAGGCCTCATGAAGTGGTGTCCCCTATAGCGGTTGACCGGCCGTATTGTTTAAAGATGTGCTTTTTTGGCCAAGTGTGTACTAAATAGGAGTGTCACCTGAATAGGGGTGTTACCTGTGGATAGTCACCTGGATAGCCGTGTCCCGGAGGGGTTGTATTTATGTATATATTGAATAATCTGAAACCTGTAGAACCAATAATTGGATAGGCCTAAACACCCAGGGCATGGATTTGAATTGAAAATTTGTTTCATTTTGCTTTAGCCAGTGTTTTGAATGATCTAGGCCTATATCAAAGGAATGTAGACTAATTACTTTCACTTTTTGTTTGTTGTCGTATGGTATGGCTCAATGATCACGTGGGTACAACATGACGTCGTTAATATGATAGTATTTTATATTGTCCTTCTCACGTCCATCAGCGTACCGTAACGTGATTTGTCGTTTCGTAATTTGTTAATGTTAATATCGTATTTGTACCAGTGTTTATAGTTAATCGAATATTAGCCCCAATGGCGTTTAACCTTGAATAGAAACTTTTGCTAAACGCGATTGAAAATACTTACAAGAAAAACTTACCTCTCCTAAGTCTTTTCAAACACGCTTAGCAAAAGTTCCCATAACAGGCTTCTTGTGTTTATTGGTATGTTACCGGTATGTTCCTGATATACCGGTATGTTATATGTATACACACATTTATTAGTGAATTACCGTATTGAATTTTCTTGTACCCATTGTTAATAAGTCTAGGATTTTTTCCTCTTCATAACTAAAGAATCAAGAAAATACATTATATGTATTGCACATTTCATACTTTATTTTAAAGTTTGTTATTTTTTTTTTATTAATGTTATCATTATTATTATATTCAATTAATTTATTATACATCATAGTTGTACACGTATTGCCGTTGAAGATGCTACCAAAAAGAAAGAGAGGAAAGAGCCTCAACATGTTGATAAAACAAAGTTTTAAATGATATACAAACGTTTTACTACATTTTTAAAATTTAATGCCAAAAATTTAAGGATATGTGCAATTCCTAAGTTGATAGTATTATTTTAGGCAATGGACAATGTTTCAAATGAGCCTGATTCTGATTTGATGTTAATGTCTCTAATCAAGTACATACATCAATATTTATCCAATCAGAATTAGATATTTAAGGTTTATATTGTCGTATGCATTGAGGGTACCAAATGATCAGCTTCGGCGGGATGGACAGCCCTCACAAAACATTATTGAAATAGATTCATTTTATATTAGATTTAATTGGCAGTATTTCTTTACCGTGCAATTATAATGTGAGATGTATGCACTTCGCTCTGATGTTTTAAATGTGATATTTTTTATAATTTAACGTTGCGGTAAGCATTCTCGAACTGAGTGTCCTGCCGAGAGATTTTTGTAAAATGAACGAAGAATATGCATATTGTAGATGGATAATTATATGCTCTTCCTAAAGATGTTAAACTTAACCAAACCTTGAGAAATTTTTAATTAGGCTGAAAACATATAAATATTAAATAAAATAATAGAATTGTTGTAAAGTAATTAATGATGAAAAGTTTTAATTGCATGATAAATGTTTCAATTTGTTCCTAAATTTTTTCAATAATTTTTTATCCCTTTTTATTGTTCATCTTTGTTCATGTTGTTTTGCTTTAATATTAAAATACTATTAAAATACTATAGATACGATGGCACCCTATTGGAAATAAGTGTTTTTTTTTCTCCACTTTATGAGTTATCCTTGGTTTCACTTTCTTAAAATTTTTATCTCTTTATTAATTTATTTTACAAAGTGTTTTTAAAATTTTTATTGTTTTGTGGTTGTTTTTACAGTATTTTCATAATATTGTATTTACATGTATTTTAAAGTAGTACTAAATAAATTCAAATCAAATCAAATTTTGATAAATAGTCTCATATAGATCTATATATACCAGATTTGAAAGCTTCGTTTCTGTAATGTTGTAAAGCATTGTATATGAAATAATAATAAATATAATATTTCAATATTTTTTCACATTATTTCACGAATTATGGATAAAATTGTTCGGTTTTGAATGTCATTGTGTTATTTATGCACATAAATCATGGTGCTGTCTCTATTCGAATAAACGCCCCTCTTTGAATAAACCGCCCCTTAAATAAACTCCCCCTCAAAGTCTCATTTGGAATAAACCACCTCCCTCGAATAAACGCACCGACGCGCTTATTTTTCATAGAATAAACGCCCCCACTCCTTACTCATGAGTTTGGGACCAACAAGTCTTCATGACTATACGTAATATAGTAACACATTTTGAAGGTAATTATCCACGTCCACGTCGGGAAGAGAGATTCGTGGATGGGGAAAAATAATTTTTTAAAACGTTTATATCAAAAATGTTGACCTGTATTGGATAGGCCTATTATAATTGATTGTTCAGACGCGGATGAGATACAAAAAACACCATTAAATGACATTTTGACGGATTATGAATGGCTTTTACGATTGACTTGTCGTTAACAACACCTTTCGTAAGTCAAGCTTCTATCGACTTTTAATTTTACATTTTTCCTCATTGGCGAGGGGATACCCCCTCCCAAACCATTCCCCGTCTCGAGCCTGCCTGTCGGGGGTTTTTCCCTCCCTCCAGGGAAGTTGCCCTGTCGTCGGGGAAATCCTATCCCCACCTGGACAGTGAAGTGTGAGAGTTTCGTCTGTATACCGTACTTGCGAGAATAAGCCCGGCCGGGCGCTTAAAATATTTTTTGCACTTTTTAAGGGGCGTTTATTCAAACGGGGTGCTTATGAAAGCAGGGTGGAAATTGAGGGGGGCGCTTATGGAAATATATGAAAATTGAGGGGTTCTTCTGGGAACTTGGAAAATTCGATGGGAGCTTTTTGAATGAAAAAAGATTGTATTAGGACATCTGGAAACCGAAGATTACGAATGGTTCTGGTGCAGAAAAGATAATCTTCCAGAGAGCATGGCTCGTGACAAGAATGCTGTGAGTTTTAACAGCATATGAAATTGGTGGTGGTGTATAAGCTTGTTGGTCATCTAACGATTGAGATTAGCAGGATCATTGAAGGGCTTAAGTTTTCAAAATCAAATGAAAACGTAAATTTTCAGGAAAAGAAAAAAAGAAGTAGACAAATGTAAGAAGAGGAAAGTTAGAAAGATACTGTCCAGGGAGCTTCCATCTGTCAAGTAGAAAATCCTCAATTTGAAATCCTCAATTAAGAAAATGTGAATTGAATCCTCAGC